CTTCAGCTAAAGCTTTTTCACCTGAAATTTTTAATTGCATTATACTGGGCGATTTTAAAATTTGGTTAACCAATCTGTCGGATATGTTCACTTAGTTTTTAAGTTAATTTCTTCATGAAATATTTTGGTGTAAGCCATTAGCATTGGATTTGTCAATGGCACGCCCTCGCTGAAACTCCATCTGACCCATTCAATCATCACTTTGTCATGACCATCACGTTTAGCATAGCGAATAATTTTTCTGTTATTCATTGCGAGTGTGGTGTCAGAATCCATAAAAAATAAACATAAAGTTCCTTTTTCTGTTATGTCATCCAAACTTTCCAATGCCATACTCCTTGCATCATTCTGAGACGGATATATCTGTATTCACTTTTTTGTTTAATGGACATTGAAACAAGCTTTTACTTTGTAGATCGTGTTGCAGCTTCAGAATTATAAACTCTTTTTGACATAATTGAAAGTTCGAACTTTAATTTTCATGAAACTGCTGTAATTATAACAGCTTGAAAAAAAAAATAAGCTGAATCAAATCAGGAAGTTAAGAAACACCACAATCTTCTATATTAACTGAAATTTTTGGAATCAGTAAAATGTAATTTTAGTCTAGCTTAATAGCATTCTCTATGCATTATTGGTGACTATACATTATTTATTTGAGATTGACGATGAAAGACAAGTTGTTCATTAAATTTTGCCTTGCTTCTGTCGTGCACAATTAAGCCTGAATTGCATTAATTTAGTTATTTATTATACTTATGTCTATTTCTTGAACATGTTTAAGCCTTGTTGGAGTCCTGAATAAATTAAATTCCCACATATACTTAAGCTTGCTGAGGATCTGGGCTAACTATTTTGCTGCCTGATGCAGTCTCTGTTGGTCCTAAATTCTGCTACCAAGCACTTAGTTTTAAATTTTTTTCTGCTCCATAATTTTGGGTTACAGTGCTTTCCTTAAATTAAAAAAAAAACAAAATTATCATCCCTTAATTTTGTTACTCGGTGCTTCTCTAAATTCCAAAAAATTTTTTTTCACTAAATTCTGCCACCTTATGAGTTCTGGTGCCGGTTCTGGGTTTATGTGAATAAAAAATCGGTTATTCTTAGTTCAAATGGTAATCAAAATGTAATCTTTTGGCGTATGAGTATCGTTAACAAATCCTTTTTTAGCATACGGAAAGAGATTTTTATTAAATTATTCTTCAACATTTAGCATATTTAACTTAAATCTGTAATAATTACCAAGCGTAATGTCAACATAACTTTTCCATACTCTTTGCCATTCAATTACTAATATGAAAAAAATTGTATAGGCATTGCTGTAATACTCAAGTTGTTATGTGTTGGTAAACATGCAGTGAAAGCAAAATATACTAAATAATGATTTGCCAGGTTGGCATCAAAGATGTAAAATATTAGTAGTTGTGAAATGGATGATGTTGCTATGTAGAATGTTTCAGTTTGAAAGGTATGCCAAGCAGATATGCAGCTACAGAACCAAATTAGTGATCACATAGGTTTATGCTAAAATGATTGTTTGCTCAATAATAAGGTACTTTATTTAGTGCCAAAGTGAAATTAAGAATCGGGATTCTCCACAAGTTTTATTGTGGGGAAAAACCAAATGGGCATGCGTAAACCATAAAAAAAAATTCCTTAAAAAATTTGTTGTGGCTTTAAGGTCTGGGTTTTAGATCATTCCGGATATTGGATGTCTGCATCTCGATCGAACTTTGTACTGTATATGGTTATTTTGTACTTCTTTGTTAAAATCAATTTCTGTTTCTATTGTCCATGACTTCAGAATTACAGCTATTGCCATGTTGGAATATTCCTGCAGTTCTTCAGAAACTAAACTTTAGTCTGTTTGGTTGACCTCTGTGAGGGACACAATTGCTAGTGAAAAATATTCAGCAAAGTTTCAAAATATCCCAGGTAACTGGGACATCACTTCCAGTGGAACTGTTTCTTCCAGGAAACCTCCCGTTTAAACCAATACTACCAGAATCTCATTTCTCTGAAAAGTCCTATAGTTTTGCAGGTCGTTAGATGTTGATAAACCTTTAAAGGAATTTTAGTGTTGGAAATGTTATCAGTTATTTCACATTTATTTATGTTCCATCCAACAATAGAGTATAATTATGAATAATATACTATTATACTTACTCATGTATTTTATCTTATTATGTATATCTTTAGATTTTTTTTCAGCATATGATTAATAGACTTCTGATTTATTGGAACAAGCTGAAATGTAAGGGTATGTAAGGGGTAAAAAGATATTAAAATTAGTATCTTTGAAATTCAGAATACAGCAATAAGTCTCTTCATAATGTCGTTTTAAATGCATAATGTTCTTCATTTAAATCTTTCCTTTAGAATTTTTTATATGCGATTTTTCCCTATTTTTGACTATGCGATTTTTCCCTTTTGATTTTCAAAATGTGCCATTAACATAAAAGGGGAGAATTTGCAAGTAACTAAGTTATTTCAAAACAGTATCAGTCATATTGTATTTTCAAATTGATGTTTTGTTATTAATCTTCTGACTGGTAAAAGTCATTAATGTCATGTATAAAAGGAATACAAAACTATTTTTTAAATTCATGATTATCTTAAATTTAATGCTGTCTTGCATTCATTTGCCAACATAACACTATCGATGCTTTGATTCCATTTAAATATACCTTTGTTCAAGAAATTAATCCAACAGCATTTTCAATGTAAGCTGTGTTTGGTGTTAAATTAGTAAGTGTTCTAATTTTTTTACAAAGACAATTATTAGAAAATGCAATTTTGATTTAAAAAAATAATAACAATGTTTTTACTCTAAATTAGTGGTCTCAAACTGGTGGGCCACATGCAATCCCAGAGCCATTTTATGAAGCCCACGAATACATTTTAGTTATGTATTTGTTGTAATTACAAAGCCAAAAGTTTTGCAGATGGTAAGGTTATTGAAACAACTAAAAGATAAACTCAGCTTTCATATGAGGTCTGAACAATTGAGTTTGTTGCATTGCTTGAAGAAACTAAAACTAAATGCGAAGAAAATATTTAGTATAACGGGATGAAATATGTGTTGAGGAGCCATATTAAAACAGCTTTTGATTTTAATAAATGAAATCAAAATTTTTATAACAGAAAACCTTAAATGAGCTATATAATGATACATGAAATATCAGATTTAGCATTTCTTGTTGACGTAAGGCTATTCAAATATTTTCAGTAAAGAGCTACAAGGAAAGAATAAATTTAAAATAATAGGCATTTACTAGTATTATTACATTTTTTAACTTAAAAATTGCAATTATTGGAAACAACTTGAATCAAAATATTTCGTGCGTTTCTTAACCACTTGCGCTACGACTAACCTTCGTGGTAGTGGTGCCGTGTGCTACAATATAACAAGCGGTAAAGTGTCTCATTTACGCCGCTCCGTGTCTGCGAGTGCAATCCAGAGCTGTACCTCAAGAAATAAACAATCTCGTTGTCAGGCGACGTGTGCACCACGTTATTTTGATTTTTGCACGTGGTTTGAAATAAAAGCATTTCGACGTGCATAGCACGTCTTTTTAGTGCAAGTGGTTAATCTTGAATCCTGCTCTATTATTTCAAGTGAAAAATTTTAAAAATGTGGAATAAAAATAGCATTATTATGACAAGAGTTTGGAAAAGATGTGTCAGTTTTTAATTATTTGTAGTCCAGTATTACATTATTTCCATAACCATTAAAATGAAAGACAGAAACATCAGCAAATATACAAATGGAGTTAATTAGTTTACCACTATGCTACAAATTTCTTTAAAGATTTCAAGATGCAGATTTAATGGACTTTTATTCATACTTGTCAAAAAGTATATACCCTCAGTTAGAAATTTTTACAATAAGAATAATAGTTTTGTTTTAGAGTATTTTTATAAATGAATAGTTTTTATTTATTTATTTATTTATTTATTTTTTTTATTTTTTGCAGTTGAAAACTAGTAAGTCTGAGAAATGAACACAATTGACCAATGAGCATATACTGATGAAAATAATGTCTAGTTATATTTCTCGAATGTTAAACTTTATCAAAATTGAAATGCCATAAAGTGTTGTGACTGGATGTTGTAGTTTATGATTTTTTTACATAAAAATTATATATATATATTCTGAATGCATCAAAGAAAAATTTAATAAATGAAAGAAAGATAACTGCCATTATTCTCACATTTTGTCCCTCTTTGGAATTTTTCTGTGGAAATTTGAAATGTTTTTATGAAATCTCTTTATTTTAAGTAAGTTATTTGATGATTGATTCAACATACTGCAATTATTTCAAATTAAATATCAGAAAATTTAACCTTAGTCTGTCAATATGTTTGAAATGAGAAGTGTCACCAAGAGAAATTTCATGCAAATAGCAAAATTTAGACTTCAGCTAATAAATATAAATTTGAATATTTCTCTTTGCATTATTATTAATAATATTCATTCTGTTTTGATGACTGTCAAAGGGATTAGTACCTAAAGAAAATAGGGGGAAAAAAACCTAAAGAAAGAATCTTGTAATTTTAGTCAGTAAAAGAAGGCAAAAATTGTCTGAAATAAATTTTCATTTAAATCACATTCAAGGCAAATAAAATTTTTAAAATGTAGTTTTTAAACATAATATAAACTCAGCACAGCGCTTCTCACAAACGTGTCGCACATAACATCAGATTATAAAGCGATGATGTATATACATTAGAGGTAAATACAGCTCGATATGTATTGTACACACATGCGTACGCACAAACACGAAATTCACTGTAATTTTGTTTGGCCATTCAGCTGCATTCAGTCTGCATGCAGTTGAGTTTAAAACCACTGCTATAAATTGTTAATTATGTGACAATTATTCAATCAATCTTACTTGAACCATTAGTCAAATTTTCAGAATTAATGCATATTTTTAATTTTTATAATATTTAGTTTAATGCTTCATTGAAATTCTTTGTTTTTGTATGTTTTTCAGAAGCTTCAACCTCAAGTTCAGGTACCTGAAAGATTTGCAAATGTATTTTCTCGGGTGGAAATAAAAGAGAAAAAAGCCCGTAAAGATTCTCCAAGTAATGCTTCTCTTGCAGATTTAATTAAAAAACGGAAAAAAATTAAGCGTAAACTTGGGATAAGGGAGAAGGTATATTTTATTTTATTTTTATATTAATTGTATTTTTCAGATTTTACTCTCATTAGTATCCAGAAGCAGTCTTTTTAAATGAGTAACTATGTAAACAGCTTTCTTATCGATTTCATTAGAAAGGAGGAGGAGAAATGATTTTTTTTTTCCATCAAAACTAAATCTCATAACACTTAGAAGTTAATTTTTTGAATTATGTTTATTTATTTATTTTGTGTTCCTCCTTATATAAAGAATACAGAAAAATTGGTATGAAGAAGAAAAATTCTGTATCCATCGAATTTCATGTAATCCATATGTTTAACTTGATATAATCCTTGGGACAATATTATGCTATTTATAATTAAAGTTTTATTAATTGTGCTGAAGCTGCATAGTAAGCAATAAGTTTTATTCATCTCCCAGGAAAAGGAGGGAAAAGATTTCCCCCCCCCCTAAATTTAGTTTGTTTAACCTTGTAGTAAATAGAGGGGATGAAACAAAATCACTCATTTTGATTATTATTCTTTGAACTGTGGGGGGGGGTTGATTTGTTCTTCTTGATATGTCATTTAATCTCTTCAATGGCAATTATTAGTTTCAATTTTTGTTTCTTTTTTTGAGGGTTTGTCTTTTGCAATTTTTCTTTTATATTTGGAATTTTGGCATACAGTTGCACAAGTTTTTGCCCTTGTTTCCTGGGAGATGGTTGTTTCTTGTTTTTATATATAATTAAAATATGTATATACACACACATATCATACATACTTTTTATTTATATATACATATATTTTTTTTTATTTGTATTACACTTAAATCATGGCTAATAAACTTCTGTGTTTGATTTTAAGGAGCAGTAAACAATAGTTAACAATAACAGAGGCTGTAACTCAGCAACCTTTATACATAACTTCTCTGTGGTTAGAGAATAAATACCTCAAGTTAGTTTAACAAAGTTATATCATTAGAATAGTTCCGTTTAAAGATTTAGATATGGTTTACAGATCAGCAGTTGTAACGTTTTTGTGCAATTAGTTTTTACGAAATTTCATGACTTGGAATACTTTCCATCTGTCTGTCTGTTTCGTTTTTCAGTTTCGTGCTGTTTCCATCCTGTCACCAGCTCACCCATATAATCTCCATAGGAGTTTCAGATGTATCTACTAAATGTGGTTCAGTTACCAGTTTCATAGCAGAAGTGTGCTAATCAAAATCTGAAAAATCTTTTCAGTATATTCTTCTATTAAAAAATTCGAGGCACTTACATATTCATTGAATATTTTATTTTCAAATTTTTACTCATTCAGCATATTTGCTAGCTCCGGTAAGTGTTCTGTAGATATGTTTGAGTGAGATAGCCATGTTTTGAAAAATGTTAATTATTTCAAAACATTTGGATCTTTTGCCACATTTTATGTATGTTCTTTGCTCACAGATATTTCAGTTCCTTTGTTTTGTCATGATATCAGACAAAAATGATGTTTTTAAGGAAAATGCTTCATCTGATAAATCCTTGTTTTCCTTGTTCTTGATAAAAATTTAAAATTAATTGTCGTAAATTTAAAACTTTTATCAAAACCTGCTCTCTCTTGATATCCAGCGAACCTTGCAATAGTGCACTAGATTAACACTGTACGTTCCCTCATCTAAATTTAACATCTACCGAAATTCGTGACGATGCATTGCATTTAATATACATATATAGATAGTTGACAGTTGACGAATATAGTTAAGAGTCTCAATAGTTCAGTCTAGAGCATCGTGCAGAATGCAATAAAATGATTTAAATTTTTTCAAATTGACAGTTGACGAATATAGTTGACAGTTGCAATAGTTCAACCAAGAGCATCGTGCAAAATGCAATAAAATGGTTTAAATTTTTTCATTAAATTAAATGGTTTATAATTATATAATATATAATTATAAATATATATAATTTCATTAAATAAAATGGTTTAAATTTTTTCATGTAATTAGGTTTTTCTTTATTAATAAATCCTTTTTTGTCTCTCATGAAAGGTGTGTCTTTGGTGCAGACACTGACTAAGTTACTCACATTTAATCATAATCGATGACATGTATCTTTAAAATATTTGAAAATGTCAACTCCACGAGTTCTTTCAGTTAGTGTACCCAGCACAAAAAGTTCTTTGTAACATTGAAAGTCTTAAATTACACCACAAATTAAATAGAAAACTTGTACCATGCCAGCTTTCAGTGCTTTCATCTAAATCCGTGTTTCCCAACATGGGGCCCACACCCCACAAGGGGGCAATTCGAATATGGACTCGTCCAGAGTTTAAGGGGACAAAGGACGTTCAAACGGGACAAAAAATGTTCTAAATATGTTCTAAATATGAAGTCAAAATTTTTCGAAATTTCTTTTTTTATTTCCCAAAATAAAGAAAAATGTAAGTTATGTATATGTAAAAAAGTTTTTAAATTGCGTTGCATTTTAAATATTTTATGAAGAATTTTCGCTGTAGACATGGACATTTAAATTCTTTTTAAAGCATTTAAATGTCCATGTCTGTCATTGTGTTGGAAAGCATAATGTAAACAAATTATGCTTTCCAAACGTTTCACGCACATTTCAGCCAACAGATTTATTTTATTTTTTACTGTAGGAATGGCAACTGGTATATTATTCTTTCCTTGAATGGCAACAGCAGCTGCTTTTAGCTTTGTTTATATTGATCTTATTTTATTTATTTATTTCAGCCCTTAGTGAAATGAGGGGTGCAAGCAAGAAAAAACGTTCGTCGGTATTCGGAGGCATATTTAAAATTTGGTTTCATACCCGGTCCATAAACGGTTACCTTTTGTCTTTTTATGCCAATAATGCCTGACCAACAAATCAATGAAACTAGGTCGTCTTGAGGCACATTTGAAGGCGAAACATAATGCTGATATTAATTCAGATTCGAATTATTTTCACACTTTAAGGAAAATTTTTGAAAATAAAGTAATATTAAAGTGTCTATTTACTGCTCATAATGCAACTGTTAATCGTGCTCTTGAGGCTATTTATCAAATTTCATTACTGATCGCTTAATCTGGGAAAAGCCATACTATAGGGGAGAATTTAATCAAACCGTCAATATCAGCATTTAAAACTGTTCTAGACAAAGACATTAAAGCTATGCCACTAAATAATAATACTGTTTGCAGAAAAAAGATTAAATGAGTGAGGATATTGAAATACAACTTGTTGAAAAGCTGAAAACAAGAACATTATCAGTGCAAATAGATGAACCAACTTTGAGAGACAGTGAGGCTGTACTTGTAACTTATGTAAGATATATTCATAAAGGGGATTTCGCCGAAGAAATGTTCTGTAAATCATTACAAAGCACCACTACCTCCAAAGATATTTATAGTAAGCTAAAAAATTACTTAGAATAAAAAAATTTAAAAAATATAATACATCTTGTACTGCAGATGGTGCTCCTAATATGATGGTTGAAAAATAAAATAATGTACGGAATAAGAAAAAGGGTTGCTTAAAATTGATAAAAGATGAGAATCCAGAAATACTTCTTGTGCATTGTGTTATTCACAGAGAAAACCTGGTAGCTAAAAACAATTCGCCTGTTCTAAATGAAGTACTAAATTCAGTTATAAAGTGTATCAATGCTACTAAGCTAAGGCCAAATGTGAACAACTTTTCAAGTTATTTTATGAAGAACAAAATATGAGACTTGTACTTCACACTGAAGTAAGAAGGCTGTCGAAAGGGAACTGCTTTATGGAAAGATTTATGGAACTATTTGATACTCTTAGTTATTTTTTAAGTGACAAACCTGAAATGAAAAATCCGTTAACAGATAATAAGAAGGCAATTGTGAGTTATTTAGCAGATATCTTTGAAAAATTAAATATATTAAATAAACAACTTCGAGGAGCAAATAAAACTTATGATGCAAAAGGAAGGTATTTGGTTTCATTATCTTTGTTGAATTATGTCAAGCATTTACTATTTACCACAAAAATTTTGAAAAGTCTCATTGGCTCCAAAAATGTGACGTGACTACCGCTATACTTGTTATTGTCAATCATCTGAAAATTTTATCGACTGATTTAAAAGATTTTGTAACTTAAAACAAATTGATTTTCCAACTTGGATGATGCAGGCAATGCTTGTGGATTCGGCTGATATTTCAAATATGCAGTAAAAGAAGAACTCGCAGAAATGCAGAATGATGAGTCAATTAAAACGTTATTTAATATAAAAGGAGCGATGACATAGCTTTGTGAGGAAACCAGAATCAGATATCCAAATGCAACAAAATTTGCAAAAGAGAACTATTGTTACCGTTTCCAACTTCATATTTTGCTGAATGTGGATTTAGTGTCATAAATAATATTTGCTGCTTAAGAAAAAAAAAGGGGGGAATCGGTTGGGTATAATTAAACCGGGAGACTTGAGACTCAAGTTATCTAAATTGGAAACTGACATAAAATTTCTTTGCAGTAAGTATCAAGCGCAAGGAACTCGCTAAATTTAAATAATAAAAATTACTAATACTTAAAACAATAAACTTTCACTAAAATGAGTTTTTCCTTGAATTTCAGTTCTCCATGTTTTGAAAGTTCACTTACTGTGTTTGCTCACAAAATTTTGTAGTCTTTTCTTCCTAAGAGCTATCATTCAAGTTTCTTTCGTGAATATTTCAATTTTTAAGTATTAAAAATTATGTATATGGTAGGGGAGCTTAAAAATTTTAGAGAGAATTAGGTTGGGCATAGCACAAAAAAGGTTGGGAAACACTGATTTAAATCAATTGAAAATAATCATCTTCATTTTGTTTAATTGTATGAAGCTACTCTTTACAGTTTGAGTTAATTCGTGCTGTCAATCTGTTATAGTCAGGGCTAGCATCAAAGCTGGTCCAGCAACAGGCAGCAAAATTTAGGGGTGGCAGAAGTTTTAGAATTTAGAAAAGAATCAAGCAGAGAAATTAAGGGGTGTTTAAAATGTTTACAATTTAAGGAGACATAAGGTGCGGAAATTAGTACAGAAGAGATTGCACCAGGCGGCAAAATGTCTTGCTGTCCTTGTTATAGTTTTTCTGGAAAGGGCAGTTATTTGTATTTATCAACTTTTTTGGATTTGACATAGTCACTCTTTCTACTATATATTCTTTAATTATTTTTGCATCATTAAATGGTTTACTTTGCCTCTTCTTCCAATAATCTATGATATTTTGTAAGTAACATTAACTGCAGTTGTATTTTTCCTTGCGAATACTCTAAAAGATACCTGTTGATGATGCATTCATTTTTCAGTTTTTGTACTGCATCTTATCAAGATTCACCTTCTAAATTGAAATTTTATTTTCTTTATGAATCAAATAGTGGTTTTTTTTTGGGGGGGGTGTTTGCGTTCCCTCTCCCTCTTCAAAATAAGTTGAAAGTGTGTTGTAGAATAAACACACATTTTTATCTTCCACAGAAGAAAAAAAATAATGTAACTCCCACTCTACATTAAATGTTCTGTTAATTTTCTTCTCTTACAATTTTACATAATGGCGAAAAAACAAAAATCAAATATTTTTAAGAAAGTATATACTTGCTTGAAATGTACTGGTTTCCAAAAATTGAGGAAAAATTGCAAAAGTAGCGATAACTCGTTAAAAAATGAACAATCTGTATAAGACCCATTTTCAAATTTTGTGTACATATGCTGTCTCAGAGGAAAAGAAAGAAAAAGCAAGATAAACTAATATTTGAAGCTTAATATGAGCATAAAGATGACTATAAATATATTTCTTTAATTTAAAATATGAAAAAATTAATTGAACATCTTTAGATATAAACTTAGCAAATCAATAAAAATAATTTGTCCTCCACTTTATATCAAGTCTGTTATCTTGAGATTATTTTACCCCTGTCAGTTTATAAATCTGCCTAATGGGGGCAGTACATATTCAAAGTAGTCACACTTAGCTTGACTAGTATATATATGTCAATGAATATGTACTGCCCCTTTTAGGCAGATTTACAGACTAATTTTGGGTTAAAATAATCTCAAGGTTTTGACTCATCTCAACAGGAAGTGGAAGACAAATTGTTTTCTTATTGATTTTCTAAAGGAAAAAACTTCTGTAATTAATTTTTATCACGATTATAGCACACTAATAGTTCATATTTAAAATAATTTAACTTATTTATTAAAAAATGAATTAGGTTACAAAACGAAGAGGTAGAATAACATAAAACTTGAAAGAGACAGGCCTTTTTGCGTGAGATTACGTTGTTTGAGATTTATATCTAAAATATTTCAAATTTTTTTTAATATTTTAAACTGTAGAAATATGTTTATAGTCATCTTTATGCAATGAATTATTCAAATTAAACTTGAAATATATTTTATCTTGAATTTTCTTTCTTTTCTTCAGGAATAGCATGTGTAAGCAAAATTTGAAAATGGGCCATAAAATCTGAACATGTTGCCAAATAAGAGTTGCTGAATAAAAGTGCAGTATGTAAATTAGTGGCATTGCATTCGCTCAACCCTGCAGATTTTGCTGTGATATTGAGATAACAAATCTAGGATAGCCAATTCGTAATAATAACCCCCAGGCAACATTTGCCTGAAGAACTGCAATGGAGAACTACTGGGAGACTACAGGCAGAATAAAGTCAAACAGAAATGGCCAAGTGGCTAAATGTGAGTCTTTTTGTGGTTCATAGAATTTGGCAACAATTTCTAATCAAAGATTTGGCATTCAGGAGGTTCAGCCAAGGATGGTCAAATGCCTATGACCGATATTTGTTATGCACACAAAGGAATAAAACCACAACTCTGATTCAACTTAGATCCTCCCTTGCTGAAGCCACTGAAATATTGGTGTCAACATAGCTATAGTTTTATCCCTGACCATGTTGAAATGACAGTGTGGAATTGAATGCCTATGTATACTGTAATTGGTTATGAATTGCAATTTATACAATAGAATTGGTTTTATATATTTCAGAATGTAATTAAAATTTTAGAATTTATTAGAAATGTTTTGAATATTCATAAAATAAAGTTTTATATGTTTTTTTTTTTTTTTTTTTTTCCCCAGGTGTGAGGCTGCATAATGAAATACTTCAAGAATTATTTTTGTACATTTTAAAATCATGTGTAAGGAAATTCTAAATTATCTAAATTAGAATGAATTCTGCGTTTTTGTAATGAAGTGCATTTATTTCTTACTACAGTTTTTCAAAAATTTATGTGCATTTAAACAAATATTAATCCTGAAATAATTAAATTGGAAATTGTTAAAAGATATATGGCAAGTTCATCTGGCTGAGTATAACTAAATTGTTCTATGTCTATAGTAATTTTTATGTAAAAAAACAAAAAAAAACCTTGATTATAATTAGAAGTGCTGTTTTACGAGCATTATTTGTTTACAAATATGGGGTACTGATTGAATACGTAATTTAGAAATTTTTGAAAAGCGAAGCTAAAGTGTTCCCTCATGTAGAGGATTAAGAGCTTATGAACTAAGTTAAGAGCTTATGGACCTTTCATCTTTTCATACTTCATCTTAATTTCTTTTGATCATTTCATAATTGAACTTAAATTATATAGAACTTAAATATTAATTATTTTATAAATGAATGAAGTAATTATTTCATATTAATGATTTGTTTTTGTAATGAAATAAATTACTTTGTATTGAATGAAGCAAAAGAGGGAAATTGTACTAACTGAAATTATACATCAACTTCATAATGTGTAAAGTATTTAAGAAATGTGCCTACAGGCTTGTTTCTTTTTATCCAAGACTCGCGCTGATTTTGCGAGTAAAGGTGTGCAACTTTTTATTTTTAAATGTTAAAGGATAATGCAAATTTTAATGTTTCAAATTATTATCATACATAAACCACATAAAATATCTGAGCATCCCCATTCATACTTTTGATAGTTTTATAAAATTATATACCTTATTTTTATGAGAAGTGCATGTTGTTACTTCAAAGAAATAAAGCCTGTAACAACCTTTTTTATATAATTTAAATTGTTAACAGTGGAAATATGACTTTTTTTTTAAAAAAAAGCAGTTGATATTGAAATAATGATTAGTGTTGCTCAAGAAACAAGCATTAAATTTTGTAATTTTAAAATGTTAACTGAAATGCTATCATGCAAATAAATTGAATGCAAGTAGAAGTTGCCACAGAATAATTAACTAAATAGTTTCACTTTGTAGTTTTCATTTTAGCTGAATATCTAAGATATCAGCATATATTTTGCCAACAAAATTCTAGTCTATGTTAAAAGTTAAAAAAATTATTATTTATAAAATTTGGCTTCCTCATCATTCTTCTCTCCCTCCAAAAGTTTGATTATAGATCATGTACTGAAATGAAATTATTATTTTAAGGCAGTTGAGTGCATTTATTTAGATGTATTCATTGGTATACAACTAACGTGTGACTATCGAAATGGAGATAGAAAACCACAGTAATGTGTGATGTTATACTTTTATTTTCTAATCAAAATTATAAGTTTTCATTTTAAATATTCACCAAGTATGAATGATAAATAAATTTGCTTACTCAAAATTGTTTTGTTTATATTGGAAAAAAAAAAAAAAAAAAAAAAAAAAAACCGAAGCTTGCTGAGTTATTTTATTGTGAAATGCAAATGTGTTTTAAATTCAATCTTACATTTAATCAATATTTGACAAGTTACATGTGTAGTTTTTCTTTCTTGATTTTTGTGCAAATAGTGTTTTTGTTTCACTTTCTGTAATGTGAACAGTGTAATATCTCTGTGCAGTTAATTTTAAATTCATACTATTTTGTATGTGTTTAATGCTAAATCATGAAATTAAATTTGAAGCAAGTGTTAATTAATTTTGAAAAACAGTTTACCTGCTGGGCATACCACACTATATGTATTCATTCTACTGTTTATATACTGTTTTTGGATGTGTGAATTTTTTTTTAAGGTTTATAATTGTATTATTTAAAAAGTCAGTAAAAATCTGTTTGTTGTATTGCCATGTGTGTTATTTTCTTGGACAATTCCTAGTTTAAATGGTTGGTTATTCCTAGTTTAAACAATATCCCCCTCACCCCCCAAAAAAAATGTCTTAGAAGCTTTATTTACATACATAATGGATCTTGAGTATGTGCTTCCTCTTACAAATATTTTTCTGAAAAAAAGCAGAGAATTTTTATAAATTTCTGCATTGGCAGTGGGGGAGTTTTATATGCATAAAAAATTAACCCTTTGCTTTGCTAATCATGTCTACCTTTTACAAATATTTTTCTGAAAAAAGCAGAGAATTTTTATAAAGATAATTTCTGCATTGGCAGTGGGGAGTTTTATATGCATAAAAAATTAACCTTTTGCTACCCACTTTGCTTTGCTAATCATGTCTACTATCAGTTACCAAAGCTTAGGAAGTATTGTAATCGCAAAAAATATCAAGTATCACATTTCAACAAAAATATCCATGTTGACCACTCTCGAATCCATTTGAATGATTTCTTTGCATGGCACCTGTATGGACAGTAAAAGGGACTGCTATTTTTCCCAAAATGGACTGTAAAATTAATTCAGAAGGAATTTTTCATGACATCTCTACGTATGTACATATATATCTTGCATAATTCAAAAATGATTCACCATAGAATGCTGAAATTTTGTGTATGGGACTTTGTGTATACTTTATGTATAAAAAAATTATGGTTAAATTGGGCTGCAGATAAAGAGCATTTTGAGACTTAAGAAATTTTTCTATTCTTTATGGTAATCTCTAGACAAAACCATTAATTATAAGGGTGTAGAGAAGTTAATGCATAAAAATGAGATCAACAAGAATGAATTACAAATTCAGATGCAGCAATGCAAGGGAATTGCGGAAGAAGTGTCGTCATCAGAAGAAAGTAAAATGACCTTAGCTTGCTGATCCATGAAGTATGTGCAAAATGGAGTAATATAAGTTTTCACATATAAATATCACCCTGATAAAGTACTTCGAAGTTACAGCATAAGCATTTTTGATTAATACCGTGCCTTATTTTAGAAACATTTTAAAACATAGGTACGAACAAATATGTTTGGCAATGTTTGAGTAAGTCCAAAGTCAAAGGGCATTTAGAGGTAATGAAAAGATGAAAGCAAGTACTGATAAAAGATTTTTTTATGGAAGGAAATTTCACATCCAAATAATGTCTTTCCCATCATTTTTCATGTATCCTGTCTCCGTATAACCTTCTTTGTACAGGTACAGTTAAAATTAAATTGTATTTTCGTCTAATTTCTTTGTTTAGTATCGTGTTTCTCTTTTTTTATGTTGATGGAAAATTAATCCAATTAGGAGTTGTGCTTGATAACCAAAACTTAGGAGGGGTGTTTGCACATCTGAAAGATAATGTCTATTCAGATTTATGTGCTAGATAAATAAATAGCTCCATTATGAATATGCAAATCCTGCATGCTTTACACGATGTCAACTTCATGTGCTTTATTTATCTTCTGGAACTAAAATGAAGCTGAAGTGTCTTCCGGATTGGGCGTTGTGAGCAAGAATGTGTTTAAGGAAACTGGAATCTAGGCTGTATAATAGGGCTACAAGGAAGTGGGTTTTCATTTGGCGATATTGCAGAAAAATTTGACATATCCACTGTGCGTTTTGACAGCAATGGTCACAGGAAGGTACTATCTCAAAAAAGCCGTTGTCAGGCCACAACGTACCACCATTTAAAGCAAAAACCGCTTCATGTCTGTGGCATATCGCACTGTATCTGGAGTACATATTCGAGCCTTTGTTGGCTTCAGAGTGACACAGCAAACTGCAACAAATCGGTTACTTGAAGAGCAGTTCCAAGCCAAGCGCACTGTAGCGGCCATATCTCTTAATTCCAAATAATCGCCATCTGCGACTTCAGCGGTGTCAAGCTAGAGCTCACTGGAGGACAGAGTAAAGATCTGTTGTGTTCTCAGATGGGAGTCATTTCTGTCTTGGTGCTAGTGATGGGCATGTTGGTTAGGAGGAGGCCAGGTGAGCATTTGCAACCAAGCTGTCTGCATCATAGATTGCATTTGAACCTGCAAAAGGTCTGGGAAAAAATTTCTTATGACAGCAGAAGCTCTCGTTGTTATCCAACACACCTTAATAATTAAGATACAATAACACGGCAAGCAAGTATTAATTTAGAAGTCAAACAACAAAAATCAGCGTCATATTTTCAAATTTTCACAGGACTAGTTTCGATGGTTTTACCGAACCATCATCCTCAGCTGCAAAAGCGCAAATGAACAAGATAAGATATAGTGGTTAGATAAGATAAGAAAGCCTGGAGAGGAGTCAAGCTACTGGTGCTTATGTTGATGAAACCAGAACTAAAATATAATTTAAAGGCTGAAGGCAAAGATGGATTGGAATTAGGGTCACTAACTAGAACAAAAAGATTTTATTTTGAATGTGAAATGCCTCTAAAAATTACAGTTCACCAATGGAAGATGCTTTTTGAATAATTTTGGCAGCAGGACAATTGAAAGTGTGATATTCGAACCAACAATGCTGGGCAACAGAAGACTTCTGTGTTTCCTTTTTTCTAACATATGCCTCATGTTCCTTAACGCGCAATTTTAAGGCTCTCTTAGTTTGACGAATGTAAATTAAACCACACTGGCAAGGAATTCTATAAATACCCTAGGAATTCATATCCGGAATGGGGTCCTTGAGTATGGAACTCGGAATTTTATTGATGGGAGAATAAACGACCCGAAAGTTAAATTTCTGCAAAATATGTCCAACTTTATAGCTAATTAATGGAAAGAAGGGAATGACAACAGAATTTTTATAATCTAAAACAAGAGTGTGCCTTTTAGTGTGTTGAGATGAGAATTTTTTAACTGCTTGATTAATAAATAATGTTGGGTGAAAAGCCCCTGTCAATAGTTACTGCTTTTAAATAATTTAGTTCTTCATTAATAGACAGTTTGGAGGAACAAACATGAAGAGCACGGGAAACATAGGAATAAAATGACGCTAACTTTTGTTTAGTCGGATGACATGATTTGAAGTGGGGTCGAAGGCAACCCGATGAAGGTTTACGGTAAACCGTAGCACTGAAGTTGGATGTGTTACGAGTGACCAGAATGTCGAGAAATGGAAGAGAATTGCAAGTGTCAAGTTCAAAAGTGAACTGAATAGCAGAATCAATGGAATTCATTGTTGAAAGAACTTTATTTAAATCATCTTTATTACCTTCAGACAGGGTAAAAGTATCGTCTATGTAGCGGAACCATACCGAGAAGTTTAATGTTTCAAACAATTTTGATTCATAATAATGCATGTAGATATCAGCCAGGATGGGACTGAGGGGGCGGGGCTTCCCATGGCTAATCCCTCAGTTTGCTTGTAATATTTATTTTAGAAAACAAAATGCGTTTATTTCAAACAAAGTTGAGTGAGGGAAATTAGCTCATCAATTTCGATGCAAGAGAAATGAAATTCGCGAAGTCTGGTTTCTATACATCCTCCACTGGAACATTTTCTGAATAATGATTTTACATCAAAAGAAACCATGAGTTAAATTTCTAGGAGAATTGCTTTTAAGCTTTTTTACTAAATCTATTGAATTTTTTATGGTGTAAATGTTATTATCTAATAGTGTTGAAAATCTAGAAACTAAATATTTAGCTAACAGATACGAGGCAGTGCTTAAATTTGATACAATAGGGTGGTAAGGAATACCACTTTTATGAATTTTGGGAAGAGCATAAAACCTGGCACAATTCGCAACAGATGGGATAAGCGACTGTTTTAAGTTGCTTGAAAGGATTTGTGAAGATTTGATCGCAGTTTTTATTTTTGACAGGTCCGAAGGTGAAGTATCGCATTATACGGTCCTTCGTTTAAGAGTTTAGTGAGACTATCGATGTAAGTGTTCTTATCCATGACGACTACCTGGCCACCTTTGTCAACCTTTGAAATGATAATATCCGGGTTAGAATGAATTTCGTGCATTGTAGCTTTCTCTCCCAGTTAAATTTGGTTTCAAAGGTTTATTATTGAATTTCACATTATGAGCGATAAGATGCCTAATCATTTCTTTCTGTGAATCCGAAACTTTACTGAACTTGAAAGCTTTTTCGATAGTATTTTCAATTTGCAATCTCAGCAGCAGTATTGGTTTTATACATTTAAAAATTTAATTAAAGTTTAATAGAAGGAGTTTGAATGTTTAAGAAATAAAATTTTATTTAAGATAATTTTACCCAAGTATAGAGCTGAATAAATTATTAAATTTGCAACTGAAGAATGTATTCACATCTTAGAAATCAGATTTTGTGTTTCATATTGAATGGGCATTTCGAACATGTCCAACTTATTAATAACGCAATTATTTTATTTTATATACTTCAGAATGATGTATAGAGTTGTTAAATCATAATAAATTTTATGTTTTGTACTTTAATACCGAAGAATCGGAATTTAAAAACGACTTTCATTTTCTCAGTAAAAAAGAAATAATGATATGTTGAATGAATTGAAATACAATTAAATGATTACATAAAAATTGACTTTCTAGCTAATTACAAGCATGCAATTAACTTACTAAGCAATACAGAATTAGGCAAACATCAACCGGAGGATTCGTTAGTTTTATAGAAAACTCCATCGACTTTAAGAAAGTCAGGAGAAAAAGTATACAGAAGAAAAGAGAGAAGAAAGATTTCAAATCATTCACTCTCAAAATCTATTAAAATGATACCAATTTAAAGTTGACTTTTATCTAACTTTATATTTGACTGTACCATGCATCTCCTCTGTACAAGAATATTCTTGTTTTAAATGAACTTTTGTAATACATGAAACTTTTTGTTCTCGGAAAGGAGATTTATGTCAAAATTAAGTATACTTTGCGGTGATATTATAGCAACATGCAAATATTATAATGTATGTTTTTTCATATTTGCTTATATATATACAGTGTCTCAAAAAAGTGATAGGACACTTGTGCTTTACAAAAGGAAACTGCAATAAAATAAATTTAAAAAACATGTAAAATTTTTTGTGGGTGTGTTTCATACTTAAATTTAGTAACAATTATTACATAACATACATTTTCTCAAAATATTAATTTAATAAAAATACAATTGTTTAGAACGGAGCAGAAAATGGCTCACTTAAGTGATGGAACACTTACTTTTCCGTCAAATATTTATCCCAAAATTTTACTTTTTAAAAGGTTTTAATATTTTTTTGGATTTCCTTTTACTTTTAAAACATGATTTAATCTTCTTGGGATGGATTCGACTAATTTTTTTGTGATTTCTGGAGTGATTTTACCCCATTCTTCTTGAAGCACCGATTTTAATTGTTGTTTTGAAGAAATGGTGTGTTTGCAAATTCTTGATTCCAATTCTTGCCAAATATTCTGTATGGGATTTAACTGTGGAGGTTGTGGGGGTGTTTTTATTATTTCAGGACAGTTATACAGCAGCCAGAGTCTAACGTTCAAAGCACTGTGCTTGGGGTCATTGTCCTGGTAGAATTTAAAATCGTTATGAAGGTTCAATTTTCGGGCTGAAGATTTCAAATTTTGATTTAAAATGTCAATATACTTGTACTGATCCATTATACTGTCAATAAAAACAAGATTACCAACTCCAGCGGATGACATACACCCCCATATCATAACTCCTCCTCCACCATGTTTTACTGTTGGCACCAAGTTCTGTTTGCGAAATTCTTCCCTGGGTTTTCTCCACACCAAGATTCTACCGTCAGAACCAAATATATTAAATTTACTCTCATCAGCAAATATAACTTCATTCCCGTAATCAGAATTCTTATTTATGTTGGATTTTGCGAAAGCCAGTCTGAGTTGTCTATTCTTTTCACTCAAGAAGAATTTTTTCCTGGCTGCTCTACCGTGATATCCAGTAGCATATCTAATTACTCTTATAATAGTCTCAGGAATTAACAATTACTCCATATAATGCTTGTAAATCAGACAGCAACTATAGGAGCACTCATTCTTGGAGTTTTTTTTTAATATTTCCAACGATAATTCGCTTTATTCCATTTGGATAGCTTTGATGGTCGGCCAGGTCTTTTATCCTGAATCATATGATTCTTTTTATATTGTTTAACGATACTGAAAACTGTTGAATGACTAAGTTAACTGTTTCAGTAGTTTCTCTAATAGATTTTCCACGTTCAATATGCAAATTAATAACTAATTTTCGAATTCCATTCAGAGTTTCTTTTCGTTTAGCATTCATGGCTGCACAGAGCTAAAAAACTCCAAAACAAACTGGAGAGAAATACTGCAGACGATTTTATAAATTATTGGCAATTGCTTTTGAGTAAAAATAAATACCCCAAAAGATATTTTTATTGCTTACTTGAGACGATTTTTGTTGCATAGTACGTAGTGTCCAATCACTTAAGTGAGCCATTTTCTGCTTCGTTCTAAACAATTGTATTTTTATTAAATTAATATTTTGGGAAAATGTATGTTATGTAATAATTGTTACTAAATTTAAGTATGAAACACACCCACAAAAAATTTTACATGTTTTTAAAATTTATTTTATTGCAGTTTCTTTTTGTAAAGCACAAGTGTCCCATCACTTTTTTGAGACACTGTATATAACACAGTCTTTTCTAAAATGCTTTCTTCAAAATTAAGCCTTGAATAATACATAGAGCAAAATGGTTACAAAATTTGTATTTATTTATCTGTCTTAAAAAAACATTGTATAATAAATTACATAAATATTACAAAATACAATTTGAAACAGTAGAGATTTCTTTCTTCTAGTGTTGATTCTTGAATACGATTTGAGTTCCACTGTTTTGCCTTAGGCTAACATCTGACAGCCATTTTTTTTATCTGCCCAAGCTAGTGATGTGATTTCTTTCAGTTCCATATTTGCGTTTACTTTTAGGACCTAAAAAATGCAAACATTAATAAAAATTTTCGCAGTACCTATTTTATTAAAATTAAAGAAAAATTCAAATACTCTGTAATACTAAGGTTAAAAACAGCAAACAATTTGTTTTTTAAAAATAAAATGTTAGAAATCCTTTAATTCATTGAGCTCTAGAAAGATGCATTTAATCACGAAAGAGTTTTTCACTTAATTTACTCAAACGTTTCTTTTTAAGAATATGTGTATCCTCTCTTTCACTTAAAAATTTTTTTTCTAAATCCTAATATACGACTTTTATGAAATTTAGCAACACCTGGTCTAGGACAATCATTAGAAGCAAGTGTGTTGCTGCATGATGATTATTTGGATACTGTGCTTTAATATTTTTTGAATAAATTATTTTAATACTAAGCTTTAGGATATATATCGAGAAAACTGAATTGTGACTATATAGATAAAAGCATTCTAAACAGAAACTGCATAACTTATTTAGATATTATGTATTAGGTAGTTAAATATTATTTATTTAGATAATTTGTAGAATCGTTAGGTTATTTTGAAGAAGGAGACATGAAAAAAGATGCCCTCGCCAGGATTCGAACCTGAATCTCTCGAATACGCGCCAGGTGTGCTACCATTATAACATTAAGGCATGCAAAAAGGTGGGAGAAAATACCTTATAAATTTATTTAGATTGATCACTTTTAGCACTTTAATCAAGCTCTAGCATAGATTTGTATGTCTTAATTACTTGTATCCTGACGATCTGATAGCTGTTTTCAGTTGTATTGCGGTCTGGATTTTTCAGTTTGGATTGTTACATATATTCTTAAACATATTTTATGTTATTTTCATTTCTTTTGTGAAAGGTACTCAGGAACACAAGCTAATCTTTAGCGCAGTGTCGTAAATGAATTTTGCTATAGTCGAAAGATTTATATTACGATACGCATATTGGAAATAAAAATATTTCAGTAACGATACTACAGAGGCTGTTCGCACATTTTTTAGACGATTTTGGTAAGCGGTAATAAAAAATCGTTTGCTTCAAAAAAAAGTAATTGCAATTGTACTATATATTTAAAAGTCAAAATTATCGTCTGTGGCTTGAAAGTTTTGTTTTTATTCAAAATGGCGAATTTAACAAAGCAGTGGTTCGAAGGCTACATTGACGCTCTTTCCGAAGAGAAATATGCATACTCCGTTATCCAAAAACGATGTGAGAGTCATGGTTTTGTGATATCTAAAGCGTCGATAGGTAATATCATCAAAAAGAAAGGGAAAAAACGTCAAATTGGAGCCTCAAGTGGGACAAAAATTCCAAACAAGTATCCAAGGAAAAACGGACATCTTCGACTATTGCAAAGGTACGTTGTTTAATGTTAAAAGAAAATTCCCCTTGTCAAAGGGCAGTTGCAAAGTCATTAAAATGCTCGGTGTCCACTGTAAACAAAATGATAAATGTTGATTTAAATCTTAAGAAAGCGAAAAAACGCAATGTTCCAAAGCATATCGCTCAACGCAGGACACGCTGCAGAATTCTATATGAGAAACACTTATCCAAAGAAAAATGGAAAACAATTGTCACGATAGATGAAGCATGGGTGTATTTAAATGATTATAACAAAAAAAGAGCCATTTATTATCATAAAAGGGGAGAAAAAAAATTTAAGTACATGGTTCAAAGACCCAAAAGAAAGTTTTTCTAAGGGATTCATGATTGTTGCTGTTTTTTCTTATAATGGCAAGTTAAAAATAAAGAGAGTGCAAAAAAATGGTCAAGATTAACTCCAAATACTATCAGAAACATATTTTATCGCCAATTTTTTTGCATCGCTTTACCCACTGTGCCATCCATCTGTGAGACTACATCAGAACAAAGCTAGCAGTTACAATTCAAAATCCACTGTAAATTTCCTAAAAGAAATGGAACAAAAAACTGGTATCAAGACCATACTTTTCACTGATATCCCTACTAAATCTCCCGATGTGTCACCTATGGATTTTTGTGCTTTCGGACTTTTAAAAACTGCATTATCCAAACGTTGTCCCAAAACCCTAACAGGACTCTGGAAAGCTGTTCGGGAGGAATGGGATAGAATACCTCTTCTGCCACTTCAAAAAGCATTATTATCCTGGAAATTGCGGTGTCGAAAGATAGTTCAGAATAAGGGATGTCAAATAGAACATTTAAAAACAAGGATTTTATGTAATTTAGTTTTATGAATACAATATACATAGTCTAAAAAATGGGTGAACAGCCTCTGTATACTTAGAAGATAAAATTGAAAGCACAGAAATTTTCTTGATGAGGAATACCATATCTTGTAGTTACTTTTAAATGATCCATTTCATTTATTTAATTAGTTTCAGGGTTTTTTGCACAAGTACAAACATATTGTTTCGGTCCCTGTTTGTTTAGTACGAATGCTTAAAACTGAAAAACTACAGATATAAATTTTCTTGCAACACATTCTTATTTTTAATATTGACTGACCAATATACAGATTAATTAATAATTATTTATAATAGAATGGATCATAAAAAAAAACATTAGATACCTTATACACATCAAACAAGTCACTATAATCCATAAGATTATTCTTGTAACATTAACTTAAACAAATTTTATAAAAGTTCAAGGAAAATAAACTTTATATTGCAATAAAAGTACATCATTAGGAGAACTCGTGATTCATGAAACGAATATCATTTCAGTGACAACAAAAATTTTGCTTACATTTAGCTTGTCGTCCAAAGTAAACTGTTTCGTTGTGTTGTTAATTTCCACATTTGTCACGGTTTTAACTTTAAAAACGTAAACATCCATCAAATTAGTTGTTAGATCATTCCAAGTCGCGTTGCCCAGTTTAGTAACTTGCACAATACACTGGAAAAGAATAAGATACGTTATTGACGGAATATGTTGCTGTATATATGATAAGTATACAGTATATGATGCTGTTGCTTATCCTTGTGAAAATTAATGCTTATAAAGCAACTATTCACAATAATTTCAAAATTGAAAATTACAGGTCTTTAGTTAAAATGCAAACCAGACATCTAAAGTATGATAACAACAAATGAAATATTTAATAACAGTCCAGCGGTTCTCAATCAGTGGGAATTTCCCCAAAAGTGCGAATTTCATTGTTTTACAGATAGATATATTTAATCGATTTTAGATGAATAGATTCAGACTAAAGTGAAAATCTTAGAGACAATAAAAAAGCAAAGTGTAAGCATCCTAATTGGGTAACAAAATTTTAAAAAATGTGTGTTTTATCTATAACATGCAATTAATGTCTTAATAAATACATAAATAATTATTATTTATTGAATATAATGAAGTAAAGTCTATCTACATCTTCAATATATCTAAAATAAAATGCAGTGAACCTTCTTGTGGTGATCATCTCTTAAAGTGGCCAGTATTTTTGGGAACATAAGAAGACCGCTCTTTAATCCAAATGTGACCATTAAATATTGTTACGAAATGTAGGCGAGGTAAGATGGCTTCCCCGCAAAGCAGTTTTAGGGTTGCCCTAAAATGACAGGGAAGGCTGGGTTGCCACATTTGGCAAGAAATCGCCCATTTGGCGACAAAATTAACGATATGCCATGGAGAACCTTCTGGAACGTATTCTTACCGGTTTAGCCCAGAATGTTCTCGAACACTAGTAAAAGCTATATAAACACTGCTGGAGTTAGTATCGAGTGTGCGCCTCGTCTAGAGTGCGAGTCAGTGTGTCTCGAGTTAGTCAGTCAGTGCCCAGTCGATCAAGTTGACAGCCGGGCGGCGAGTGCCGAGTGGGTCGTCGAGTGCACCGAAGGAGCCTCATAGAGCATCGTCGAAAGAGCGTGTTGAGCTCCGGGAACGACTGAACCGAAAAAGTCGTCGAATGCATCGCGAGTTATAGCGTGGAGAGCCTCGAGAGTACTTGGAGTTCCGAGAACGACCAAGCAGAATCGGGAGCTGTACCATGGTGCTTTGCAGTGAAGCTGTCTTCACCGTGATAGCCTAATAACCTGAAGGCTGTGTCGCTGATCGTGTCAGCGTGTTTATAGTAGTTCATCGACAACTGTAAAACGTGTTTAGATTGACCTAACAAGACTGGCTATTAAAGTGTGTTTCGATACTTCATCAAGTAGTGTCGTCGTTATTCACTCCAAATCCACACGAACGTGAAGGAAGAAAATAACGTAACAACTAGTGTCAGAAAAGAAAAACGCAACAATATGTATTAAGACGATCACCTAAATTCTAATTTCGCTATAAAACAAAGTAAAATCAACTGATTTTCGAAGACCCTGCAATATCAGAAGGGCATGAATTAAATACAGATATTTATTGGAAAACTATATATACATATCACATGTATATAAGGAAGGAATGATTAAAAATTTAATCAAAAGGAATATTCTAAATTTAATACTTTGTTTGTGTCCCTTTATCATTTAATCGATCGTTACAGCTTGATGGCAACAGATATGAATTTTGGAAGACTGTTTGTGGAAAATCATTCTGTGCAGACTGAAAGTACATACCGATAATTTATCAGCTGTAGTGTTATCAGGACTTGTATTTCTCTTGACTTGCTTTGGAAACATGAATGGTCCTGAATAAGAACAGGGAGCTTACTCAAGCTATGTTCAGGAAGGTGTGAAGTAGACAACACAAGCAGGAAGGGTATACGAAACCCTTTATTTTCAATCTTTACAGGATCTTCCGAGCTTCGGAATACAAAGACCAACCACTTGTGGTCTGAACGTAAGAATATAAAAACTACTAATTAGTATATAAATGCCTAGCACTAAGATTGGCCTTTATTTAACAAAGGTAAGTATGTAGTACGCTGAGCTGCTAAAACTACGATACGTCTGCAATTATCAAGAGGGCTAAACCTCTGGCCTTAAAGGCAACCAGCAACAGAGTGAAAACTCGTAAAACTACAGTGGCAAGCGGCTTGCTTCCTATAACTCCTTCCTCTCACTCTCTTGGCAAAAAGCTCCAACTTAAGTACTTGGCGTTAGCAAGACAATTTGCATAAACATGTTAAAGCATTTAATTCTGGCCGGAAGTAGAAAATAAGAAGTGATAGTACAGTTTTAAAATAAAAATAAACGGTTGTAAAACTTAGGATCCTTACAGTGTATGTAATACAAGCCAACTGTCGCACATGTTTTCTATTATAGAGAAATCTGGTGAACTCTGCAACTCAAGTAAAGGTTGACACAATTAATGGACTCATAGGTCCATTAATGCATGCAACTTAAGCAGCAGCAGGCGCCCAGACGGCATAGTGGTTAGGGGAGCCGGCTGCTATACTAAAGCGCCCGAGTAAGGCATGGATGTAAATTACCTTCTTAATAATAAGTAACGGTGCCTCCATAATAAAATGACCACTACGTCCGGCCTTTGTAGTTGCGAAAACTTAAAATTGGCATGGCTAGTGCCAGCCATTAAAAAAAAAAAAAAAAAAAACCCACGAGTAGCAACATCGTCTTGTTTGAATTTACCTCCAAGATGATTCTGCAGCAATAGTAAGACTTCTATTTCTAGATCTTCCCGAATGCAACCCTGGTTATGCATAGTGCCTGCCACTCGTAGAAGGTAAGAGAGTGAATAAAATATGATACCTTCCCATACGAAGATTCTGACAGTAGCACTTTGTAATACGGCCTTCAGACGATATTACCCCTGGTATCTATGAACGGAGGTCGAATTATCGTACATTCACAGATTATGCTTGTCAGACACGAAACTTTGCTCCAAATGTTTTCATTCCGGATGTTTCATCATTCAATTCCAAATGTTTTCATCAACTTTGTACTCTCTAATGTTAGTAGTAGGGCCGCCCAGGCGGTATAGTGGGTTAGGACAGCCTGACTGCAATACCAAAAGGCCCAGTTTCGAATCCCGGAGAACGCGTGGTTGTAAAATTGTCTGCCCCCTCATAGACGGTTACGGTGGCCGCCTATTAGGAGCCTCCACATTAAAATGGCCACCACCTCTGTCCTTAGTAGTGCCCGCCATTGGGGGAAAAAAAAAAAAAAAAAAATGTTAGTAGTAGGTCATTGGAAATCAAAGGGGACGACAACCTGCAAGCCTTCATTTCAGAAGTCATTGATAAATAAGGTTAGCAAACATTACTCAATATATGTCACTGTCCTTAACCACTTGCGCTAAAAAGACGTGCCACGTACGTCGAGATGCTTTTGTCTCAAACCGCGAGCGATGTGAACACCACGTCGATAGGTATTTATCGCAAAAATGAAAATAACGTGGTGCACACGTCGCCTAACAACGAGATTGTTTATTTCTCGAGTTACAGCTCTGGATTGCACTCGCAGCCGCGGAGCGGCGTAAATGAGACACTTTACCACTTGTTATACTGTAGCCCACGGCACCGCAACCGTGAAGTTTAGTCGTAGCGCAAGTGGTTAAACATGGCAAAGCACACCAGGGCTATCTGCCTAAGGGAAGGAGTGCCTCTATGGAGGACCTCCTAAGTAAAACTTGCTCTTATTCACATTACGCATGCGGAAAACCACGAAAACCAACCACGCAGCAGCCCATTTGCTGCACGATCCCTCAGTGTCTAGACAGCAGTGATGGATCGTGCAGCAACTTTTTACCCTTGCGAAATTTTTTATAGAAGCTGATAGAGCTTCACAGAAATTCCTGCAACTTTATAGGTAACTTTCTATATAAATGTTTCTCTATAAAATTCTAGAGGAATTTTGTAAAGAAGCATTTATAAAAATTCTATAGGAATTCCATAATTTATTTTATGGAACTGTATAAGACATTTTCGTAAAGGCTATCTTTTCATTCAATTGTTTCTGTAGGTGTTACAATTCATTCACTTCAATGCTATTAAACCAAGTTCCGTCTAACATACGCTGTGATTTCAAGATACAAGAACCCCTGATTGTCTGAGCCGTATGATTCTTTATCGTTTTTGCCTACCAGCGGCTGATCGGTAAAGTCGCTGAACACTGGTAATTCTGTCCGGGATTCGAATCCCGGCGAAAAAGCTGATTGCATGGGCGTTTTCATAGTTTTTCTCATATGTAATGGATACCAGCGAATTTCCCTTAAATTCCTCCCCGAAGGCATCCATTCTCTTAGGCAGATAGCCCTAGCGTGTTTTAACACAATCAGATAAACCAAACAAAACCATCTCCCTCATTGGATGAACATCAGCTGTTTATAATGTTATCTCGCTCTACGTCGAGGCTGGGATTATTCAATTATGGCAAAGCACACGAGGGCTATCTGCCTAAAGGGAGGATGCCTTCGTGGAGGACTTTCTAAAAACGTCGAGGCATGCTTATGTACTCTCAGAAGAAGCAGCTAATTTTATCAGTATAATAACTGAGATTTGTTTCTTTTACCTTTCTGAGACCTCTTTTGGCTCAAATTCCTCTTCGATTGCGCAAATTCTGTCTGAAAACGTAGTGGAAATTCTAATTAATTGTATTTCTCACGATAATGAGCCAAATAATGAGTCCAATAACTTTTACTTTTTGCTACAATTTCTTTGAACAGCAGTGTATTTCATACAGAAAATAGATCTGTGAAATATTAAATACCGAAGTCTTACTTTAGGAACAAATTTTTAAAACTGTAGCTAAATTCTTGTATTATTAATTTCAGTGCCGTAGCTAGAACGTTTGTTGCCCGTTGAGATCTCTGAGATTATCGCCTGAATTTGCCATGGCTGTCGATGCTCTAGAAACTGGTAAAAAAATGTCAAAATAACATATAGGAAAATAATATTCTACATTTATTTTTGAAGCAAAACTTTCAGAAGCAAATCCTAACATTTTAAAATTGCGTTATTATTATTATTATTATTTTCTGTTGTTTGTGTAGCGATCTAATTCATTGCTTCAGTTGCCAGTATAGTATAGACAGTATATGAGGATTTCTTGAATGGAGAGTATACATTTGTAAGCCTCACATACTTCTTAAATGATTTTTTGTTCAGAAAACGTTTGACAACTTAAGACCACTCTCGAGAAAAGTTCGCAGCAATTTGGAACTTTCCGGAGTTTGCAAAAGCTCAAAAGAACTATCCTTCAGCGATTCTGTTTCGTCTTCCCTAGCGATAACAGGAAATAAAACTCTCAAATATTTCCTCCTTTAATAAGTAATTTTGTTTCTTGTTAATGTTATCCTGATCATAATTTAGTTGATATTTCTATTTTTCGTTCAGAGGCTTCAGCGAAGTAAAGATGATATAACAGGTATGCATGTAGGTGTCGTAATCTGCCAGTGACAGTGGCGTAGCTAGAGTGGAGCAAGGGGGGACATCCGTCCCCGGGCGCAGCATCCGGAGGGCGCCAAATTGATGATACACATTTGAGAATGAAATGTTTCCCATTCTTGGAACACAGAAAGGGGAGCAAAATCTTTAGGTGTCCCCGGGCGCTTAAAACCTTAGCTACGCCTCTGGTCAGTGATTTCATTGAATGCTTTATTAACTAGTATGAAAACCATTTTTCTGTGCCTACTTCGCCGATCTGCATGAATCACTCCAAGCAAAAAGTCATAAAGAACTAAAATCTTATAAACAGAGGTTACAAACAATAGAACTAAGAACAAAAAGACCGAAGTCATTGCCTAAGGAGCGCTCTTGCCTCCCAGTATCTCAACTCACCTGTAAAACCACGAAGAGCTCCATATCGAAGCAGGTGGTTCCTGTCCATTTCTCCTCCAGAATCATAAAGTGAGCAAACAAGATTCCTTGAAATGCCTATGCGGTGCAGGTGGGCGGCAAGGCAATCATATCCCGTAGACAGACGGAAAGCCGCAACTGCATTGCGTCTTAGACTATCGAGTAAGGTTGTACGATTCTGAAGATCTCGTAAGATAATGTCAATTTCAAAAGGAGAAAATTTCAACTTGGTTATCGTAGCATGAAGAAGATTTTTGACAAATGCTAAAGTTGCTCTGCTGTTTTTAAATTCCTGAAACCTGCTGAGAAATACTTTCCTCATATTTAAAATTATTGTTTTAAAATGGTGTTTATCAATAGAGGAATTATTTTCTTGGCGATGCTTCAGCAGACTCGAAAAGTGAAACAATGTTTCCCTTTCAAAATCCTTCTCGAAAATGGATATTAGACGCAAATAAACGTTTGGAAAACAGTTTAATCCTCCAATAAACGAATGGCTGTGTTAGGATGCTGTAGTAAGCTGGCACCTCTTTTTGCAAGGAAGTCCAATTTTTCATTGCCCCAAAGACGACAATGGCCAGGCACCTACTGGAGAACGATTTGTTCCCCCTTTAAAGTGAGAGTTCTCAGGAATTCTTGACATTGCAAAATTTCAGGTGTTAATGGGTGTTCAACAGAGCTTACTGATTGAATGGCTGCGTGAAAATCAGAAAAAAATGGCTGCCTTTGGAAAATTGTAATAAATAGCTAATAATTGCTTTAGGGCTATACAGAAAGTTACTTCTTCACCATCAAAGGAGGTAGCAATGTATCCTGCAGGGGCGTAGAAAGAAAAATGATTCAAAAACACACTAGTCTCAACTTTAAAATGACAATCAAACTGAGAACCATCAGTAAAAATGTGCAACTGTTGAGTAGGTAGACATCTAGCCGCAATGGTCGCCAAAGCGAAACATTTCAAAACACTTTGATGCAACATCTTTCTTTCTGTGGATGGTTTCCGCTGTGTCTAATCTTACTTCGACATTAATCATCTCCAAAGAGCTTCTGGTTGTCAAGAGTGGTTGTATATTACCGGGAATCTCAAGATCTTTCTTAATGTCCAGGACGTTTTGAATAAATCCGTATTGGGTTTTTAATTTCCTAGACTTGACTACGTAGTCCCTCCAGTAGGGATCCTCAATCCTCAGTAGCTTTTCATACAGAAAATGAAAATTTGTTGTCCGTTATTAAAAACAAGATGCATTAAAATAATAGAACAGGACAACATACAAATAATAATAATAGTATTAATAAAGAAAATTAAATAATTGTTAAACAAGAATTATTATATTAAATATGTAGATGACTCATGAAAATATTGATTTTGTAGACGAAGGCATGGAACTTTTTGCTTTTAATTTACTGAATCATAACTGGAAATTTTCTTCTGCGGGGACCGCATAAAGTCAGATTTTGCATTTATAGAATATGTTTTGTTTATGATATTATATTTATATTATTCACAGTGTTTTAACCTTATCATAACAGTTCTCTATTTCACATTAAGAAACTTTGGAACCAGAAGTATACGTAGGGTATCAATATATAAGACAATAGCCACATTTTCCGAAATTTATTATAAAATTTTCGATTATGCTGTCCTGGGAATCACTGGAAATCAAACGCTATGAGAAAAGTAAGGATCATAAAATAGTAAAATCTTGTTACTTTTCATTCCCAATTTTGTAAATATGTGTATTTATCTCCCAAAATCAAAATGTTGTCAACAAGTACATTTCTTAATAAAAAAAAGGCCCATTAAAATTTTCAATTTGGAGACTATAGATATTATATTTTGAAATATAAAAAATTTTTATTTAAATTTTCATAAAAGAAAAACCGTTATTTTTTATGGTTGTCAGAATTTGGGAAGAATAAATGGAAACTCAGAAAAAAACGCATATAAAATAAAATAAAATAAAAAAAAAAAAAAAATGTAGAACTTACATTCTCATAAGAAAACTGGTAGAGTATGTACAAATTATTTTCTATTGTATCTGCAAAAGAAAGAAAAATAATACTTTAAAATTGAAAATTAATAAAACTATATTATGAAACAAATAAACTGAAAACCAGCATGTGACAAACTTAATTTTAGGAAAACTGAATAACATGGGATAGAAAGGAGACTTTTTGACAGTAAGAGCGGGAAAATATAACCATTAACTCCTACGCACATATCCACAACATACCGTGTTTACTCGCGTAATAATAGTTGAACTTTTTTTGTCAATTTTTCATTGTGAAAGTCTAGGCGCGAACTTCCTACCTCCATGGCTTCAAAAAGGGGGGGGGTGCGAGTATTACGCGAGGAAACACGGTATTCAAGGTATTAAAGATCTTCGAGAGGGGAATTTTGCCGTGGAACGAATTTTTTCAAGGATATTCTGTGCGTTCTGCACAGGTTTAAAATAAAGTGATTTGGCCGGCCAGTTTATTAGATCAGTGCTTTTAGTTTCATGAAACTCATAATACAGAATTCTCCAGAGCAGACGCACGCTGTGGTTTGTAAATGAGCACATACATATTCAGATGCATCTTTAAAAACTTCATATAGGATTGAAAGATTTTCTCCCATAGAAAACTTCCTTTTACATAGCATTCGTGACAAGACGTGAATATATAGGAAACATATTATTGCGTCGTACGTGTTCATGGATGTGGCATGATTGACGACAACACTTGATGAAGAATGAAAACACAATTTATTAGCCAGTATTACTCAGGACAATTCCAAAAACGTGTTACAGTCGTCGAAAAACTACGACAAACATGCTAAAACAATCAGCAATACAGGCTATCAGGCTATAACGGTGAAGACAGCTTCACGGCAAAGCACTAAATACAGTTTCCGACTCGGTTGATTGCTCTCGGAGCTCAACACACTCAAGATACTCTTCACGATAAAACTCACGATGCACTCACGATAAAATTGCTACTCGGCGTACAGGCAGGATATATATAGCTTTTGACCCGCCTTCGAGAACATTCGGGGGAAAACCGGTAAGAATTCGTTCCAGATTGTTCTCGCTTCGTCTACGTCACATAGCTCATTCTGCCGCCAAAGGTCGCCAAACGGGCGATTTCGCGCCAAATCTGGAAACCCTAAACCTGCTGTGCGGGAAAGCTATCTTACCGCTGCTGGACATTTCGTAACAATATAGTTGTCTTTAGACATGATCTTGCGCTGACAAGAAAAGTGCATCTATTGATCATTACTCTTCATATATCATTACATCTGCATCTGGTCATACTCCCTAATGCTGATGGAAATGCTGTATTTCCTTCCTCAATCGACAGGGTGAAAATTACAAAATGAAGAACAACAAAAGAAAATCTTCTGTGATTGAAAAGCATGTATGAATAGATATACAGTTATAGTTCGACTGTCTCAAACGTAACCTAGGCTGGCATTCTGCCAAAACACATAGACTTGTCCAAAAGGGGCATTATTACTTGCTGCGACGTGAAAGGTCACGTGAAGAACTCCGGAAAGAGGGAATTTATATGTTGGAGGGAAAGTCCTCATCTTTCCGCTTTATTTTGAGAATAATTCGGCCCGGATAGCTCATGCGTGTTTGCTGATGGTCGTGGATGAGGCGTTAAGTACTGTCTTTTATACCGAAGGCAGATTAGAATTCAAAATAAAATTTTCTCTACGAATGGGAAGTCCTGAATTTAACCTTAGTTGAACATTTCTCTCCAAAAATGATTTAAGAAATCATCTGCGTATTAGACAAAATGCTGAAGATGTATCATATTCTTCTTTTTGAAGTTCGCACAGTTAAAACCCCCGTTCAGGGCACTCATGGGGCTAAGGTTGTAGAGAAATTAGGTATTTTTGAAGCAAGAGAGGTGAAAAATGAGCAGTGCCCTCGCCGGAACTCGAACCATGGAACTCTCGACTTCGCGTCGAGCATACTGACCACTACACCAGGAAGGTATGCAAAGAAGGCGGAAGAAATACCTTATATATGTCTCCTTTTAAAGGGCGACTGAGGTTTTAGGGAACTCAGTCGCCAAATCCTGGTGGTGAAGAATAAGCATTCACCAGCTTTTATTTCGGGCGCCACTGTAGACACATTAGGTATTTTTGAAGCAAGAGAGATATGGTCACTTTACTTAACCTGTTCCGCCAAACTAAGTTAATGGCACTACAGAGTTAGGAAGTCATCCTAGTCATTGCTAGTAATCTGACGGTTCGGCCGCCTTTCTATATTTTACATTAATCTGTAGTTTCTTGGATATAATTATTTTCATTCACTTGCTTCATTATCTCTAAGATGCCCTTGTTGCAGTAATAGTCCGTGAACAGTCTATTCACAGGATATGTGATATCGTCGGAAGGAAAGAACTGCTGTCGAAGGTGCTCTGTCAGGCAGGAGAGCAGGTAAGAAGTGCGTCCGCGTCTTCCCCCGCGAAAACCGCAAGAACAGTTGACGTCCTGTCTGAGGAATCGTCTGTAATACGCTGGAATTTCCCGTGGTTGGTACAGGCTTGGAGGAAGAGTCGGTTTGCATTTGAGCCTCTTGAGAGAAGGTATTGGGAAGATGTTGTAAGTAAATCTTCCTGTCTCTTCTTCCTGCCATCGTGATGACCATGTCTCTTGAAATGCTGTCTTGAGGAGCCTTTTTGCAACTTCTGGGAAAGCGGAACTTCCTTGTCATTTCGGTTTGAGAGCTGCAGTCTTAGCTAGTTCATCCCTCGTTCGTTGCCTTTCTGCCCGTATGTCCTTTTATCCGTTGATCTTTAAAGGTATGGAAGAGCCTAACGTCAAGAAGATCTCTCTAAGTGCTGCCGTGTGCGGATGTTTTGGAGGAAAGGAATTCAGCGCATTGAGAATGCTCATACTATCTGTGAAGAATGAAGTGTGAGCTGCTGGTTGCGTACCTAACCATAGTGCTGCTTCTTTGAAAAATGGGCAGTGCCGTCACCGGGACTCGAACAACGGACCTCTGGAATTCGCGCCGAGCATGCTGACCACTACACCACGAAGGCATGCTAAGAAGGCGAGAGAAATACCTTATAATGTCTTTAATGATTATTTGGGAGTGTCTGCTAAATGGGAATGCATCAATCTCTTACTTCAAGGTTCTGATGATACAAAAATTGTTTGCCAGTAAGAATGTTCGGTGAAGTGTAGTATCCATTAAAGGAATTTCCATTACAATTGCTGAAGAGATGTTATTACGCATAAATAATGACATCATCGCAAAATGCAGAGCCCTTTTTCGATGCTGAAATACCCTTAGCTAGAGCTTTTTCTTTGGTCTAAAAGAGCATGATATCAAAATTAGCTAAGCTTTAAAGATGAAAACTTACTTTTAGAAAGGCCGTCGTCGAGAAAAAGTTCTCCAGATGCTTTATCTTGCTGGGGGAAAATGTACAAGCTCAAGTTTCTAGTGTCTTCACTGCAATCAAAACATGAAAATGTTGTTAGAATTTTCTACTTTCTGTTAAAACTCAAATTTTTAAAATAAAATGTTCACTATGTTGAAACTCCTAGCGTAATCTCGAACATTCAGCAGTGATCTGTGTTTGACAAATGCTCCACGCGCAATTTTAGAAGCAAATGCATTGGAAACGTAATTAATAATCTTCTGCTCTTTTAGTACAACACGTTTTGACAAGCATTTATTCATTGAACCCAGGTCATCAACATAAAATGTTTTGTTTTATTTCTGACAGTACAAACATGCTTTCTTTCTTTCTTTTCCCACAAATTCGCATTTTAAATTTTGAACTGCCAAAGCCATGAAATTTGAATACTCTTTTTTTTTTTTTTTTTTTTTTATCAACAGAATTAGTAGGAAGTGCTTTCAGGATGTATCTGAATGAAACTTCAAGTTATACTTTCCACTTGATTTTATATAACCCAAGGTTGTAACATGATTTAAGAATCATGAAAGAAATCATCATTATACCAACTAATGCTGACTGGGGGCGGGGGAAACTCTAGGTCGACAATTTCAATGAATAATGTGTCGTAACTTACAACTGATTGCACTAAGTGAGCACTTTTCAAATTGTATTCACAACTAGAATATTCTGCGGACCATCGGATTCTATCCCCTTCGAAAGTAACTTTTTTAGCATATATTACTAACAGCATGTATTTATATATAAAATACAATTGATTAAAATTAATTCAATTTTATATCGATATTAAAGATTTAATCATATTCATTTATTTTCATTGACCAGTTATTTTATATTAATGATCTTTACTGCCTTTCTTGCTTTCCGTTTTCCCGCCGGAATGCTAATTTCTAGTTTGCGGGTACTCAGATGAAATAGAAAGAGATAGTATTTAAAGGAAGGTTTTTAGATTTTAGATATGTAACACATTTCATAAAATGTCGGTCTTGGTAGAAAAAGGAGAGAGTCGATTGCCATATGTAATTTCCAAACTCTGAGAACGTCAGCTACAATGTGTTATATGCAGTTAATTTGAATTTTATTTTTGACCTTTTTTAGAGAAATTTAGTACGATCATAAGGGCAAGTTCTGAGGACTAGCTATGGTCCACGGACCATGCTTTCAGAAACGCTGCATTAAATAAATTACTATGGCAATTTCATAGTAAAAGTATTTAATTTTTAATCGTTGCATTGATCTAGCAATAAAGGTTCATTTCTCGACTTAAATTCATTATTTTTTTAATGTTTCTCTTTTTATTGTAACATTGATATTTAGTTTATTTAATTACGACTAAACACATTAAGGCTATCTGCGTAAGAAGATGGATGCCTTCGTGGAAGACTTTCTAAGGGAAAATGCTATCCACGTTTCTAACGCTGCAATACGCATCCACTTCTTTCGTCCGCACAAGTGTTTCAAACAATTTTTCTTACCACTGAAAGAAAGACGCACGATTTTACCTCCTTTTCGCAAAAATTTGTAATTTATTCGTTTTTAACAACCAGTCAGCTATTAGCATCTACATCATTATCCTATCATCAACCACCATGTGCAATGGAAGACTAGTTTCCTCTTTACATGGTAACTCTGAGGTGATATGTGCTGATTGGCTATTTCATATTATATGACAAAGCAGTAAAATTGTTTTAAAGAGTTGTTCTTCAGAAATTTTTTTTAGTATGTGATACTCCCTTTAAAGTATCCACATTACACGTGAGAAAAACCACGAAAACGCCAGTGCAGCCAGTCCGTTGGCCTGGAATCGAACCCAGCTCGAACAACCGGTGTTCAGTAACTTTTTATATTTTAGGTCAAATTTTCCTTTATTATTTTTTATATGATGGGTTGCTTCTATTTTCAAGTTTGCGAGTCTTATAACAAGCAACCTAAACCCAAAAGTTCTTTTGGTTAGCTTCCATATTGTGTAACTGCGCACTTTTGCTTCAGCTCTCTTGCCGTTAAGACGCTACTTCTCTCGCTGGCATGCCGCTTTTCTTCCTATCGCAATATTTTCAAAAATATAAATATTTTGGAAATAGGCACGATTAGAGTGCCAAGTGAATTGTGACCACAAATGTAAATTGAAATAAAATTGAATATTTAATCTTACTCGGCTAACATTTTATCTAAGCAGAGTAGAAAGAGAGAAATTTTCGTTTGTCATACATTTATAATCCTTGAAAAGTTCAAACCGAGCACTTACTTTGAGCTGTTTCTTAAGACGTACTGTTGAATGGGTAGAATCGTGCCTCCTCTGATATGTACTGGAATATTTGATTTCATATCTGTCTTGATCACGTATTGGCCAGTCAATCTTTCTGTCCTACTCTAAGGATAACAAAAGGAACTGCAGTTAAAAGTGCAGTGTTGTGTACTTTTTCGAAAGATACTTTTCTGAGAAAATAAATTTTAAATATTATGGGAAATAGAGTTAAAAAACGATATGAAAAAAGAGAAAAACATTTATATCTCTATACCGTTAAATTTTAATAAAATTAATGTGGCATTACCGTTCTGTGATGCCTATAAAGAACATTTAAACAGAATTGCAGAGAATACATACACTGAAGTAGCAAAATTCGATTCAGTATTCTAATACAGTCGAACTATCGCTTATAACGAGTGTGAATGAAACTCGGTATTTTCTCGCTATAACCAAGTACTCGTAAAAAACTGGATTGTGAAAAATTCATGCATACTTACTATATTATATATGTTACCGTGAAAGACCGAAATTGGAGAATGTCAACTTCGGAGAATTTCAACATTCACCAAATACGTCGGTGAAAGATCGAATATTTCTTTACATTCTTGTACATTCGGACCTTCACCGGTGTATGTCGACAATCACAGATATGCTCTGGTGTAGGTCGAAAAAGAGAGGAGTATATGTACACGCTGCCATTGCAAAAGGAAGTGTTCCACAAATAAATGCAGTTGTAAAAGCAAAGGGCCTCTTGTGCAATTCAAAGTGTCCATAATAGTTTAAGTTGTTGCAATATAAGATTTGAATCACATAATTTGGTAAAATTTTATAACTTCTATTATTTTCCTTTCTCATTTTGAATGTACTGTGTGTTTTAAAGTTCTTATATTCTTAAGTTCTTATTCTGAGTTTCAAGTGCGTTTTTTCGCGAATGAATTACGGAGAAGGAAATATAATATTCTTATATGTTCAACATTCACCATTAGTACAAGGTGAATGTCGACATTCACCGGTGTAAGTCAGAAATAAGAGTATTTGGAAAATGTTTCGGACATACTTGACATTCACCGGTGAAAGTCGACATTCTCCAGATTTCGGTGTTTCACCGTAACATATGTACTTTATTTATTTTATTTGTATTTATTCGAACAGTGAAAAAAAAAAAAAAAAAAAATTAATTAATTTGCTTTGAACTGCTTTTTAGTCTCTTTCTGTTTTTATTGTTTTGCAGAGAAGACTCATGGCTCGGAAAACATCGTCATTGCACCCCTGGCTTCGAAAAAATTTGAAGTTTTTCTGCGTACTCAAAAGCCATTGAATATGTTGGGGGCCATTCAACTCGAAATCCTTCACTTTCGTCGTTTTCGCTTTCATTTTTTTTTTTCATCTGCTTTAGCTTAAATTTCAGCTAAAATATCCTTTGGAGTAGGTACCTCGGAAATGCTTAACACTGGCGTCAACAGATACGTTTTTTTTTCAAATTCGTCTCTACTTATTCCCAAATTTTCCAAGACATCTACTTTATCGTCTTTTTTCCTCAGTAATCTTCCTCTGTTGAGAAATGTCTAATCCAGCCTTAGGGAAGCAATTGGTAATGCATGTTGATGTAACGTTTTCCCATGCATCGTTCATTAAACGTATCGAGTACGATACATTTCTTTGTTTCGAGTACGTTTACATTATCATTTGAGGGTTGTTTCTATTTTTTTCTGTTCTATCGAGAAGCTCTAGAACCAAATGCTTACTAAAGTTTGATTAAAACTTCTGATGATCCCTTGGTCCATAGGCTGGATAACACTTGTAGAATTCGGTGGTAAAAATCCAATCCTGATCACTCTCCAAGATAAAAAAAAAAAAAACCTCCGTCCCACGTTCGCAGGATTTATGACTCTTCACTAACTTTTGGTTGACTTCGAAATGTTAAAGAAAGTTGTCCAAGAAAGGATTAAATGGAGCTGGAAGTCAATAGAAATTTTATGAATCACAAAAATATTGCTCGCTATAACCGGAGTTTGCTCGTTAAAAGCGAGTTATGCTCTCATAAGGCAAAAATACATGGTTGGCACAATGGCTCATCCTACCATTGTTCCAACCATGTATTTTTGATTTCCTCGTTAAAAATCCGAGTTATCGTTAAATAAGGGCTCGTTATAAGCGAGTTGTACCGTATTTAGCATTTAGTATTTTCGTAAGAGCTTAAATTGCAGGAAAAAAATTAAACAGGACTCCAAGAGTATGCGCAAATATTCTGCAGGAGGCGAATAAGATACTTTCAAAAGTTTTCATTTGTGCAGAGAGTGTTTACACAATTTGAGAACGATTTTGGGCCCATCTAATTAATGTTTTAAATGAAAAACTTATTTTTTAAATGTTTGAACTCATAGCTTTTCTTCCGGATTGTAAGTTTGCATCGTGTTTTCCATGATATGAACATTTCCATGAAACAAAAATACCTTCACAAATCTATATAATAAATGTCTGCATCTATGAACTTTCTCAAACTGCTTTGAACCAGGACAGATGATCCTATTCAGCCAGACAGATCAAGATCCATAAAGTCGAAACTCATGTAGGCTAATGCACCTTCTTCCAACATTTAGGAATGTCTTTTAAAGAACAAAAAATAGACGGCCTATGATCTAAAAATAAATAAAATTGTAAATGAAACCAGATTCGATTCTTACCCAACAAGACTACCACAAAAGCAATTGACAATGCACAGACTCAAATATAAAAAAGCAGAGGTCAAGATTTACACGCAACAATAATTTGGCTTGATTTGAAAAAAGTGTGATTCTAGGGCCTCAGAGACTCGAACTGCCCAAAAAATATACCTATTATATTGCAGAATTTCTTACAAAACAGAAAAAGCATAATTATTCAATAACAACAAGAAAAAATACCAAGAAAGAGGCTGCCGACCAGCTTCACGCTCGAGCGCGGACTTAACAGAACTCATCTTTCAACTCCATCCACCAACTGCAACTGGCCAATCCATTCAAAAGGAATAGCGTTTGCGGACGACGCTGCATGTAGGACGAACAGAAACCTCTTAGAGAGAAAAATGCTAATGTACCCTATGTATCTTCAACTCCCTCTGTAAAAATCTGAAATTAACCATTAGCCACGAAAAGTCAAAAGCCGTAATATTATCTACACCTTCCCAAATTTGATGAACAGTAATTCATCACTACCATGATTTGGCGATTAGGCCCTTAATCCCCAGTCACCCTTTAAAAGGGGGAGTATATAAATTATTTTCTTCCTACTTCCAGCGAGCCTTCGTATTGTTACAGTAGTACACTCGGAGCGTATTCGAGAGGTCCAGGTTAGAATCCAGGTGAGGGCATTGCTCATTTTTCATGTCTCGTGCTTCAAAATAACCTAATGACTGTACAGTGGTGCCCGAATAAAAAGGTAGTGAACAGTAACTCGTCACCACCACGATTTGGCGATTGGGGATCCAGTCGCCCTTTGAAAGGAGGAGTATGGTATTGCCTCCTTTCCGCATGCTTTCGTGGTGTAATGGCAGCACACTCGACGCGTATTCGAGAGCTCCTAAGTTCATATCCCGGCAAGGGCATTGTACTCTTTTCGCGGCTCCAGCATGAAGAAAAAAACCTGATGACTCTGCAATTTGTGCAATGATGTAAGTCCTGAGATTAGTGCACAAATGCAGCAAGGGGCTAGTTTAAGACCAAACAAGTTACTAAGTTTATAAGATCAAACCGAATTTTAAAAAGTTTTGCCTTGTGTTCAGATATACACAGCGAACAAGAACTCTTTGATGTCATTTTTTAGCTTTATTTTTCTTAGCGGATATGATATGAGATTCTGAAGCTGATGTAGTACAATGCTTCAGTTAATAATGTTATAGTCCGCACCCAAATTGTGTATCAAAATAACTTTTAATTACTCACCTGCTCATATTCAAAATGCCACCATTCTCCTTCAGGTAGATACAATGAAAGACTGCTCTGATCCTGAAATCCCAATTAATATAATTAATAAATACAATGAGCTCGCGAAGATATTTGATACATACAGAAAGCAATGATTAATGAAAACAAATAAAGGCAGCTGTAAATCTTTTTTGTGTGATAAATCCACATTTCATATTATCAGGTCTTGCTTTTCAATTGGAGGAAATATTCCCCGTTCAATGCAAACTGAAAGTTAGAGGCATAATAATTATCTGTATCCGAATATAATCCGATACATGTATAAGACGACAGTTAAATTTTCGCCGCTTAAGTCTAGACAAAATCGGAAACCTGTGTATAAGTCGGATTTATAATCATTCCACAAATTCGCGTCTCTCTTTCTCAAATATATATATATATATGTGTGTGTGTATATATATATATATAAGATAAAAAATAAAATATGTAAATAAAAGTTATAACTTTGTTTTGCAGTAACCCGTTAACACACCATTTTAATCTGGCTATTTCCCCTTTCTGTTCTAAAAATAGTAATTGCTTATAATAAACCTCTGTAAGCTGCTTCATTGCAAAATTAATTACTGTCATATGATTTTTACATAACGTTAGTAATGCAGGCCCTTATACACAGGCCAATTTCAGTCAATAATAATTTTAGAAGCTAATTAATTAGCCAATAAAAATACAGCAAAATCAAAATTAAATAGCTCTAAACGGCGATTTCATCTTAGAAATGCCACATGCTCTGCTGACCGTCAACATCTGTCAACCGCATCCAAAATATTTCATATATAAATATGTGAAATATAAGACATGAAAGAAAACTACTGATAATAATTTAGCAATAGTCCTTTTCCTCATTTTAATTGGGCTACGTCCCCTTCCTGGAATCTAAAGCGATTCAGGTGAAAATTAATCCTCATTACGCCATTATGTCAGAATAGCATTACAGATATTTTCATCCAATCGCAGTCCAAAATTTAAACAAAAGAATCAACTCCATTCAACAAGAATCAAACCCCTTTGCTGAAATGCGCACCACTTTTTCTGACTTCCTCTCTAGGAAATCCACATGAATTGCCATCGGTAATGCCACATTTCATTTCATTCGTTGTAGATCTTTGAGCTTGTAGATACTTTTCATGTGGGTAATTTTTCGTTTGCACACAAGTACGCACGTTGAAAGACACACGCGTAGAATAATAGTATCCTGTCGGCTATTTTGTACAGAAATATAAATTCTGTAGTTACTTGATAATTCTTTTCGGTGTATGTAGAGTAATTGGGCTGCGTAGACTCACCAGATGACGTAACGGAAAAGCACTTAGCAGAACTTAGATACAAAACACAATTTTATTCCTTGATTAGCGGAAGTACCCGATGCCAGTCAAGTTACATTGAGAGTAATGTATTATTCTACTCATGACTTCATTTGAAAATTCGTATAATAGCATATTACACGTCATAAGGAATATGATGTGTCATTGTAATGCATAAAAATTCCAAAGAAACAGAGTAATATTCAATACATGTACCACAACTGACTTTGTAATCATAGAATCCTGGTATATATGTTACCGTGAAAGACCGAAATTGGAGAATGTCGACTTTCACCGGAGAATATCAACATTCACCAAATACGTCGGTGAAAGACCGAATATTTCACTACATTCTTGCATATTCGGACCCTCACCGGTGTATGTCGACAATCACAGATATGCTCTGGTGAAAGTCGAAAAGAGAGGTTATGTATTTTATGTCTATTTTAATTGGGAATTAGTTCCTGTTTTTCATTAGACGTTTTATTTTAGAATATGTGCTTTATATTGTTGGAATACCGGTCAATTTGGTATTGACTGGAACTGTTTAACAAATCTGTAGTTTTTTGCCACAATTTAAAGAATTGTATTGAAAAATTTAAGAATTCGTTTCCTTTTTTTTTTTTTTTTTTTTTTAATCATCTGGGAGCCAAGTCATTATGTTACAAAACATTTTCTTCTGTGGATAATAGTAAAATAGTGTACATATTACAATGAAATTCCCAATTGCAATTTCATGTTTTGTCTTGTCTTGGATAATTGCGACACAGTGTGCAAATTGCTATGGACGCACATAATGAGGTGTGCTAACTGTTAAGGACACGAAGTTATGATGTATTTATCAAAGTGGACAAGTAGTATTTACTTGAACGATGAATTTAACAAAAGTGAACATAGAATAGCCTACAACAACATCATATACTTTGGGCTATGGAAACCATCAATTGCCCTGAACTTATGTGACTTTGCTTACTCTGTGGATAACTGCAAAAATAATACGGACACATATCATTAGGTGTGTAACTGATAAGAACATGAAGTTATGATGTATTGAAGAAGACATAGGTTTAAAAACTGGTTGATATATAAGTTCCACTCTCCACAACATAGAGCCTATCCATGACAATGTAATTATTAATTGATCGTATATGTGTTTTCATACGGATTATTATGTAACAATTATTGTATAGATGACACTGTCAATTTAGCATTGTAATATTACTATCATTGATTCAGTGAATGCCGCTGGCTGTGGATTGTAGATTCTTTTCCATCGCATGGACATATAACTCTGATTGGTGTAGAACCTTAGGTTGGAGGTCCATGCGACTGCGCATCAGTCGAAAAGAGAGGTCATAAAGTGCCATAATAGTTTAAGTTGTTGCAATAAATAAGATTTGAATCGCATAATTTAGTAAGTTTTTTATGACTGTTATTTTATTTTCTCATTTAGAACGTTCTGTATAATTAAGTTAAGTTTTTAACTTCTATTATTTTCCTTTCTCATTTTGAATGTATTGTGTGTTTTATGTTCTCATGTTCTTAAGTTCTTATTTCAAGTTTCCAGTGCGTTTATTCGCGACTGAATGACGGAGGAAAAAATATAATATTGTTATATGTTTAACATTCACCATTAGTACATGGTGAATGTCGACATTGACCGGTGTAAGTCAGAAATAAGAGTATTTGGAAAATATTTCGGACATACATCAAGAGACTATGTGAATGTTGACATTCTCCAGATTTCGGTGTTTCATCGTAACATATATACCCATATGACATATGGAATTGCCACTTGGGTCAGCAAAAATAAAAACAAATACAGCGTTATTTTGAGCGATATGGAACCCACATAAAAAATTCGATAGAAAATTTGTATCTAACAACAGAGAGAATGATATTGCTATAATTCTTCTCTAATTATTGATCTTTGATGTAACAAAATTAACTCTAATAAATTCCCTCTCGTTATATCAGCAACAACGCACGCAGCCATTGTTGCTGATATCAGCAGTGTTGCTACTCGGAAAAAGGCGAAAATTAGCGTTTTAAGCAATTTTAATTAATATCTCTGATTTGAGCTTTTTTTTTTTTTTTTTTTTTTTTTTTTTTTTTTTTTTTTTTTTTTTTTTTTTTTTTTTTTAAGTAGACGTCGATTTTTTTCCAGAACCCAGAAAATAATTGTAGAAAGTTTGGTGACAATAGCTATAGTAGTGAATGAGTTAATTAGCGAACAAACACACAGATTTTCTTCTTTATATATAAATATAACGAATTCTGGGGACAAATGTTCATCTTTTCACATCATCATTATGGATGCGATAAACACCTTACAATGCTACACACCTGATTAGATCTCGAGACAACGGTCGACACAGAGAACAACAGAATGGCACGTTCAAGCACAGCGAGAGGAAGGCAGGGAAAGTAAGCGAGCATTTTAAATAAAGGATACTTACTGAGTTGATTCTGAATTGCAATTAGATAAAAAAAAAAAGGTCTGAAAATTTTCAGATTCCATATTTTAAATTTGGGCTACCAGATGCCCATAGTCCATCTGAAAAAAATTGCCCCTTTGGATTAAAAAAAATCCTCAGTGCTACTCTTACATAACGGTGCAATGAGAATTAATTTTCAGATGACGCACTTTAGATTCCAGGAAGGGTACCGGTACCAGGATAGATGTCAGGAAGTGTACTGGTACCAAGACAGATTGTACTGACCTCCTGGCATTCCAAAGGTTTTTAATTAAAAATAAACATCAATATCCAAAGTTTCAGAAAATTATGCAACGACTCTCTTCCTACGGCCTAGATCTTTGTCAAGTGTAAGTCCACATACAGTTTAAACTTAGTGAACTTTTACATGCTGTGATTATGGACAAAATGGATCCGCTCGTGAACTTTATAAACTGCAATAAACCAATATATCTGAAATAACCCATCGACACCCACCTCTTTAGCATTATTATAACAATTCATTTTAACACTGTGTTGCCAGTACTAATTATAATTATCTCATTATGTTTATTTGTTTATTAATTATGTTTATCTCCTATTTTTGTTGCACCAAATCAGATGTTCAGTTTATCTTGTGACTCTCAAATTGTATTCCGACTATTTTGTAATCTACTTATGCACTACACCATTATTTTTAATAAATACTGGATGCGGGGCGTACTGTGGAATTGCACGATGTACCATAATAGGCAAACTCTAGACCTTTTGAAAAGCTTCAGTCTATGCAAATTCTTATAAAACTTGCAATTACCCCCCCTTTTTTTTTTCAAAGAATTAGTATGGGAAGGCATTACGAGTTGACCTATGGTACATCGCTGGTCTCCCCCATACTTTTACCTTTACCAAGACAGATTCCAGAGAGGGTACCAACGGGTATAAACTCTGTTTTGAATTTTACCGCCCAGTTCCTTACTAAATTCTAAAACCTTTGCCACCCGGTGCGACAGCACCTGTTGCATCGGCTCTGGCACCAGCCATGACCAATTACCGGCCTTACTTCCGGCCCACACAGTTCATTATAAGATATAAATAAACAAATTATTCGTGACAATCCAAATAATGTACCGCACAACTACAGTTCTGCACTATGCATTTATATTTTAGTATCTCGCTATTGTAAGAAATATCAAAGGGAATATCGAGCAGTAGAAAGGAGAAATGCAATTTCACGATGTTTTTGCGTGACTTCTGTAAGTAAGGACAGAATAAAGGATTCTTTTTCCCGAAACGGATTGCAAAAGATTGAAATGAATTCAGAAGAAATTTTTTTATTGACGTCTGTAGGTACGTACGTATCTAAGTATCTCGCCTAACTCAAAAACGAGTAGGCCTAGAGCATTGAAATTTTGTACATAGGACTGCTATAACATGTAGTTGTGCACCTACCATTTTGGTTGCAATCGGCTGCAATAAAAGTATATATATTATATATATACATCCACTGTGTTACTCGTCTCCGTGAGCTCAATTGGTGGTAAATTGTACATCTTCAGCTTTAAAAATGATTGAATTATGTTGTTCTTATCTTCCGGTTAAGGTTTTTATGCCTTTAGTTAATCTGCATGCGATAGTTTTAGAATTATTAACAATTTAAAAGTTTTTTAACTCTTTCCGGCACGCTACCTTTTAAAGTTGGAGTTTTGATAAAAAAATGGTAGGCAGTCTAATTAGGCCTAGAGGATTACACAAGTCAAATTTTGTGAAGATATCAATATAGATTTGTGAAGATGTGCACTTATCGTTTTAATTCTGTGGGTGTGCCCAAAGTGGGCGCACTGATTGAATAGAGCTTCGAAAAGAGTGCTGAAACGAGCATTGGCGTCAATGAACTAACCGATGAGATGCGCAGAAATAAAGAATACATGCAGACTCTCAGTTGTCCTAGATTATCGGTGAGCCCGGTCTGGGCACACCTAGGGTTCGCCGTTTGATTCTAGGCAAGATTTCAAGGTAAAAATTTAAAACTAGTATAGAATAAGGAGATTAGCATACAGCCAAAAAAAATAACATAGAAATTTCTTTTCAAACATTTCCTTTTATACCCTAAAAAAATCTGGAAGATTTCTTTGAAAAATGAGGGTCTTTAAAAACTAAACATGGCTAAAATATATGGACTGGTTTGTGTTGAGCTACCATCTACTATAAATAAAGAAGATTCAGAGTAACCTATAGTAACCTATAAATCCTTTTTCGTTCAATTTTTCTGTGCGTAAGGAAGGAAATTTTTAGGTGTGTCCAGGCCGGACACACTGTGCCGCAAAGGGTTAAGTGCGGCTAAGCCTAATTTTTTTACCCAGCAGCCATATTTGTTTTCATTTGAAACTTAACAAAATAGTGAATTTAAGTTAGTTTCTGAAACTTCAATGTTTTTTTGCCGAGTGGGACTAAAAGCAAACTTTCAGTTTTATGCACCGAAAAATCTGAATCTGCCTTTTGCCCGCTGGCGGAATTGCTTGTTTTTGCGTAAAAACTCTAATTTTAATTGTAAAAATTCTTTTTTTTAATAATTTTAATTGTATTTGGTGTTTTATATTTTTTTATATTTTTCAATTTTTAATAAAGACGTTTTGAGGTTTTATTTATTTTTGCCTTGCCGCTGAGTGAGAACTGAATTAATTGAATGAGAAATCTATCTATAATGAAATTTGAGAAAATAAGTTTAAATGAAATGCAGGAAAAGCAGCGTATAATTTAATGTCCCGTACAAGGAAGTCATGTGGTGTACACATCAGATATTTAATTATGTAATATTATTAGCAAATTTATTAACAGAACGAAAGATAATATCTTAAAGGCAGAATTTCATGATCCATTATCAGATGCTATGCCAACTATCTAAACCCGATTAAGCAGCTGTGGAACATATCTTCTAAATTGTTAAAATAGAGTATTTCGATTTTATCTAACTGATTCGACAGTAGTCATATGTATGCCTCCTTCACATATCATTCGTTTTTAGCATATATCATTTATTTTAATTTATGTATGCATTAAATATATTTATGTTAATTTATTATAAGCCTATGTTAATTTATAACGAAACTTACTGGTTTTAAGATGGGAGAAACGAGAAGAGATTTTCCCCACATAAATTGCTTGTCTATATCCCAAGTAATCTCATCAGTTGGGAACCTGGAAAGAAAAAATGAATGATAATAAAATACAGTTAATGAAATATAAAGCCATTATATATTTATATTTATGATAGTGAAATACCAATACTTCTACGAGAACAGTTCTTCCTTGAAGAGATACTCAAGGAAAGCGATGCTTGTGAGCGACGGTAAGACCCTCTTAACTACACTGACTACCAATAAGTATTTGGACACCTATGCAAATGACGATATCTGTGGTCCCAAGGTATGCCACGTACTCCGCCGGTATATATCGTGTAGGAAACAGCATCGGCTTTAGTCGCATGCAAGATGCATCGCAGTTCGGAGCTCTCTGATTTCGAGAAAGGTATAATTATCGGGTATCACGAATGTGGCCGATCCTTAAGGGACATATCTAGCGATCTGAAGTACCCAATATTGACAGTGGCCTATGTGATTAAGAAGTGGAAGGTGAGGGACGATTGTCGGAATGTACCCCGAGTCGGCAGACCAACGAAACTTGGGAATAGAGACCGACGAGTGCTGTTCAGAGAAATTCGGAAGAACCGCACCCAACCGATGGCCCTCATCCGCGAGGAGTTTTAACAGGCATCCGGGAATATCGTTTCAATGAATACCATCCGTAAGGAAGCACATCTGCTTGGTTTTCATGGTCGTGGTGCTGCCCATAAGCCTTTGATCACAAAGTCCAACCGCGCTGCTCGGTTAATGTGGTGCAAAGCACATCGAAATTGGACCGTAGATCAGTGGAAACGGGTTCTTTGGAGTGACGAATCAAGGTTCACCCTTTACCGTTCGGATGGCAGGGTCTGGGTCGGGCGTCTACCTGGAGAACGTCTCCTGCCAGAATGCATTGTGCCAAAAGTCAAGTTTGGCGAAGGTGGAATTATGGTCTGGGGGTGTTTATCCTGGTATGGGCTGGGACCCTTGGTCCCCATTCATGGTAAGCTCAACTCCGATGCCTACTGCACTATTTTGGATGACAATGAGCTTCCTACATTGTGGCAGTTTACAGGTTGGACCCCTGTTACTTTCAGGACGACAATGCCAGTTGTCATTTTTCGACGTTAACCAAGGCTTGGTATGGTGGCAATGGAGTTCATCGAATGGACTGGCCTGCCCAGAGTCCAGACCTGAACTCTATCGAGAACCTCTGGGACGAGTTGCATCGCCGAATTCAGGGGTGCGCTACCCGTGCAAAATCGGTGAAGGAACTTCTATTTCTTCTCCAAGCCGAGTGGAAGAAAATACCACTAGCTGTCATACAAAGACTTGTGGAAAATATGCCCCGGAGGGTCCACGCTGTAATTACCTCGTGGAGGCTCTACCAACTATTGATTTTGAATAAAGTTAGTTTTTCTTTTCTATCACAGGTGTCCAAATACTTATTGGTAGTCAGTGTATATGTTAATTGTTTAACGAATCATTTTTACTTCCTTGTACGAAGTAAAAGAAATATCATAACCGAGAAAAATTGTGGGTATCATACTTCAACGAAAATATCCATTTTGATCGTTCTCAAATCTATTTGAATGATTTTTTTTGCGTGACATTTCAACATGCGGACAGAACAAAGGACTCTTTTTTAACAAAACGGAATGTAAAAGGGATCTAACGTATGTTGGTAAATTATGCATTTTTTGCTTTAAAAGTAGTTGAATTATGTTATTTATATGTTCCGGCTAAGGTTTTTATGCCGTTAGTTAATCTACATGCAATTATTGTAGAATTATAAGCAATTCAAAAGTTTAAATGGCTCTAAGCCTAACGGGACAGCCATTTGTTTACATTCGAAACTCTTAGTAGAACAGTGAATTAAGTCAGTTTGTGCACCAAGTTCAGCGTCTTTTTGCCCCAGTGGTACCAACAGCTAACTTTCAAGTTTGTGCACTAAAAATTTGGTTAGGTGTAGAAATTCTAATTTTAATCGTAAAAACAGTTTTTTTAAACTGTTTTCATCTGCTTTAGGCTTTTCTGTATTTTACAGTTTTTAATGAAGATGTTTTGAGCTTTTTTTTTTATTATTATTTTTGCCTAGTGGTGGAATGAGAATTGAATTTATTGAATGAGAAGTATATCTCTCATGAAATTCGAGAAAATTATTTTAAATGTGGTACAATTAAATAGGACGTACAAGGAAGTTATGTGGTGTCTTCAGATTTTTTGAAAGGGAAACTGGTATGCTATTTGAGGTTCAGTAAAAAAAATTATCAATTAATACTGATGTTTTTGTGTATAAACACCGTAACTTACTCGTGAAAGAGGGGTCGGACGACAGTGTTGCCATCTGCATGGGCTCTGTAGAACAGAGTGTACAAGTATGGTAGCAAGTTGTACCGTTGTTCCACAGCTCTCTTAGATGCATCTGTTACCATCTCACCTAACGCTACTGGATCTTGATCCTAGCAAACGATAAGATAATTGCATTAAATTATATCTCTCTATAATATTGATAGTCATAATTAAAATTGATTTTGTTCTCATAGACGCGGTTTGCTTCAAGGGATTCAAGACGCGGTTTGCTTCAAGGGATAATTACGGCGAAAGATTTCTTAACCTAAAAAAGTAAAATACTTCACGTTTGTAATTGAATACATTTACGTTTATTAGGTGCAAGTTTGTTGATTATTTTTAATTACAGGTTGATTCATAAGTACATGACCAAAGTCAAATGGCAGCACCTTTCCAGTTGCGAGATTTGACGTGAATAATTTTTGTCATTGAAAATGTTTTTTATGTTCGTTTTGACACGCTAGTTGGGATAATTACATACACAGTTGATTAGAGTTTTGGTACAACTGGACAACCGAAACTAGTATTTGAAACCTCTAACATTTTTAAAGGGGCAGCTTGAAGCCCATAACAGTTTTGCAGCAATCGACATTGCATATTGTTACATATACTAATATAACCCATGACATATTGTTGCAATTAGCAAAATGAATTTAGATTTGTTGATAACGCAGAAATTAAATTACGGTATTCATTTCAAAGTGCTTATTTTAAATATATTGTTACGAAACGTACAGGCGCGGTAAGATGGCTTCCCCGCAAAGCAGTTTTAGGGTTGCCATTAAATGGCAAGGGAAAGCAGGGTTGCTACATTTGGCGAGAATCGCCCATTTGGCGACAGTTGGTGACAAAATTGGCGATATGTCATGGACGGATGGAGAACCTTCTGGAACGAATTCTTACAGGTTTAGCCCAGAATGTTCTCGAACCCAAGCCGAAAGCTATATAAACCCTGCTGGTCCGCAGTCAGTAGTATTGGGAGTGTGCCTCGAGAAGTGCGAGATAGTTGGTGTCTCGTTTAGCGAGTCAGTCCGTGCGGAGACGATCGAGTTGACAGCTAGGCAGCGAGTGGGTCGTCGAGTGCATCGAAAGAGTCTCTTCGTACATCGCGGTTAGTGCATCGTCGAGAGAGCGTGTTGAGCTCCGGGAACGACTGAATCAAGGAGTCCGGAGCTGTGCTCTGTGTGTCGTCGAGTGCATCGCGAGTTGTAGTGTGGAGAGTCTCGGGAGTACGCGGAGTTCCGAGAACGACCGAGCAGAGTCGGGAGCTGTACTCTGCTGCTTTGCAGTGAAGCTGTCTTCACAGTTATAGCCTGAAAACCTGAAGGCTGTGCGCTGATTGTTCCAGAAAGTGTATGGTAGATCTTCGACGACTGTAAAACTTGACTTTGGAGCTGTTCTGATCAGTCTTAGCTAAATAAAGTGTGTTTCGATACTTCATCAAGTGTCGTCGTTATTCACTCTAAATCTACGAACCCCATGACAACTGGTGTCAGAAAAGAAAAAAAAAGGAACAATATTATAAACAGTTAATTATCTTTAATCAAAACCCAATTAATTTTTATGTTATTAAACTGCCCAATGAAATATAATTTTCAATAAAAAATAAAGGGGCAAACATTTGATCATGTTGGTATACATTTAGAAAAATCAGCAATATAATTCAAAATTTCGTATGAAACACCTTTCTGTTTATTGGAACAACAAATTTGATTTTGCTTACAAACGATCAACCAGACTTTGATTATTAGTTTTAAATAGCAACCAATTTTAAATTACGCTCGTTATTATTTGAAACATGGAATTGGCAGAAAGTCATGAGACACTGTGTGTACCTTTACAGTGTCTCACAAAACTGATGGGACACTTGTACTTTACAAAAGGAAACTGTAGTAAAATAAGTTAAAAAAACATTAAAAAATTTTTTGTGGGTGTGTTTCATACTTAAATTTAGTATCAATTATTACATAACATACATTTTCTCAAAATATTAAAATCTATTAATTTAATAAAATACAATTGTTTAGAACGGAGCAAAAATGGTTCACATAAGTGATGGGACACTACTTTTCCATCAAATATTTATCCAAAAAATTTTACTTTTTAAAGGTTTTAATATTATGTTGGATTTCCTTTCACTTTAAAAACATGATTTAATCTTCTTGGGATGGATTTGATAATTTTTTTTTTTTTTTGTGATTTCTGGAGTGCTTTTACCCCCCATTCTCTTGAAGCACTGATTTAATTGTTGTTTTGAAGAAATGGTGTGTTTGCGAATTCTTGATTCCAATTCTGCCAAATATTTGTATGGATTTAAGTCTGGAGATTGTGGTGGTGTTTTTATTATTTCAGGACAGTTATACAGCAGCCAGGGTCTAAAGTTCAAAGCAGTGAGCTTGGGGTCATTGTCCTGGTAGAATTTAAAATCGTTATGAAGGTTCAATTTTCATGCTGAAGATTTCAAATTTTGATTTAAAATGTCAATATACTTGTACCGATCCATTATACTGTCAATAAAAACAAGATTACCAACTCCAGCGGACGACATACACCCCCATACCATAACTCCTCTTCTACCATGTTTTACTGTTGGCACCAAGTTCTGTTTGCGAAATTCTTCCCTGGGTTTTCTCCACACCAAGATTCTACCGTCAGAACCAAATATAATTAAATTTACCTCTCATCAGCAATGTAACTTCATTCCAGTAATCAAATTCTTATTTATGTTTGATTTGCAAAAGCCATCTGAGTTTTCTTTCTTTTCAGCACGAGATTTTTCCTTCTGGCTGCTCTACCGTATATCCAGTAGATCGAATTACTCTTCTAATAGCCTCAGGATTAACAATTACTCCATATAATTCTTGTAAATCAGCAGCAACTTTAGGAGCACTCATTCTTGGATTTTTTTTAATATTTCGAACGATAATTCGCTTCATTCCATCGGATAACTTTGATGGTCGGCCAGGTCTTCTTTTATCCTGAATCATGATTCTTTTTATATCATTTAATGATATTGGAAACTGTTGAATGACTCAAGTTAACTGTTTCAGGAGTTTCTCTAATAGATTTTACACGTTCAATATGCAAATTAATAACTAATTTTTGAATTTCAGGCAAAGTTTCTTTTCGTTTAGCATTCATGGCTGCACAGAGCTAAAAAACGCGAAAATTCCAAAACAAACTCGAGAGAAATACTGCAGAGGATTTTCTAAATTATTGCCAATTGCTTTTGAGTAAAAATAAAAAATCCCAAAAATATTTTTATTGTAGTACGTAGTAGTATCTAATGGTGTCCCATCACTTATTTGAGCCATTTTTTGCTCCGTTCTAAACAATTAAATTAATATTTTAATATTTTGAGAAAATGTATATTATGTAATAATTGTTACTAAATTTAAGTATGAAACACACTCACAAAAAATGTTTACATGTTTTTTAAATTAATTTTATTACAGTTTCCTTTTGTAAAGCACAAGTGTCCCATCACTTTTGTGAGACACTGTATATATTTTTTCCACACATCGATAGATTGGGATATCGTCTTCAGGTGGGGGGGGGCGGTTAAGCTCAAGCTGCTGAAAATTTTTCGATGCCTTATATTAGTTAATGGACAATTAGTTAAAGTTGGTATATGGATATGAGCAAGTAACAAGAAACCCAAAAGTATCACTCATTTAAGCAGATAAACTTCTTTTGCTTTATGAAAATCCATTAAACAATGAAAAGAGAGAAAAAAATTTAATTGTTTCAATAGCAGGTTTTCGTATAGGCTCACGTTATAAAAAATGCATTAATGTGTTCATAATTCTGCTTCACATAGAGTATAAACTTTCTTTAAAGTGTAAATACCTTTTGGTCCAAGCCATTGTGATTTCTAAAGAAAGGATAAAATGCTCCAAGCTGCATCCACCTTTTACACATTTCTGGAGTTGTATCTCCGAAAAATCCACATATATCTGCACCAATCTGAGGAATGATATTAATCGTCATATTGAGTGAAGACAGTATTTTTAAATTTTAGAGATATTGGAAAAGATGTCAAATGTTTATTACTTACGTATGGTATGCCGAAGAGGTTAAATTCTAGCATGCCTGTAAGAAAATAAACTTTTTAAATAAACAGAATTCCATAATCTTTTATGAATACAGTCAAAAGTCTTTAATCCGGACTCGTCGGGACTTCGGCGATTCCGGATTATCGATTTTTCCGGATTATAGATCATCAGTTTAAATCTGGTAAGATGGCATGCAGAAATTATAAAATTAAAAATATGAAACCGTAATTTATAAAATAATGAGCAATTATGATCTAAAGGTATCAAAATTTACCAAAAAAAAGCCTAATATTTATTGTTTACTTTATTAACATTTCTTTCAACGCGCGGATGCGTAAAGCAAGCATACCTTACGCATAGCCGAAATTAGAAAATTGCAACCAGAAAACTATTTGATTTGTATTCGTGATATTTATAATGACGAGGAATTTGATTTAAAATCATATCAAGACGGAAGTACATCGAAATTAAATATTACATTTAGTAAGGAATTATAAGCCGAAAAAAATAAAAACATCTCTGCCCTGAAGATAACGATAGTTTTGACAAATCAACTTCCAGTTCATTGCGCGCCGCGACTTTTCCCCCCCCCCGCGCAGAGCAGCGTGAAATTGATAAAATTTCGGACGGTTGATAAACAAAGATATGCTTTTATCCATTTTTTGTAGCAATTCGTTTTTTTTTGTTTGATGGACATCGAAACATACTTTCGTTTTCTAGATCCTTTGGGAGCTCCAGCATCGGAAATTCTATTTGACATAATCGAAAATTCAAGTTTACTTTTAGAAATTGCTCTTACAGTCTGCAAAAAATAATAAGCCGGATCCAATTCGAAGATTAAGGAACAACGCAATCAATTAACTGAAATAGATAATTAGATAATTTTAGCTTATACCGTCCGTTATACATAAAACGCGCACGCGAAAACGTATTCTTCATTGCGCACACGCATATGCGCAGTCGTAAAAGTCTTACGCTCACGGTAAACGCCTATGCGCATGCGTCAACGCGCTGCGCAGAAAGATTTTAGCTTTGAGGTCCGGATTATAGATCATTCTGGATTATGGGTGTCCGAATTAACGACTTTTGACTGTATTTTGCATTGTTAAATACAGCCACTTTTTTATCAACTTCCTTTTGTTGCAATTTTACTTCTTTGTAAACTTCTTAAAAAACAAATAAATATACTAAGAATTATGAGTATATTATCGCTGTCCGCCGAAAACATAGCTACAAATACATCGTGGACGAAAACAAAACAAGAAGAAAACATCGTGGTACAAAACATCGTCATCGAAAATAAAACGATTCAAAAGTTTCCTCGAAAATATCATGGTAAAAAACAAAGCACCTACGAATGATCGCATGACCATAACATGGTTTTTCAGTATTTAAAAGTTGTAAATGCATATTCGCATAATGATTCGTGATATGAAGATGGAATAAGGAATATTTTTACTTTTATATTTCATATTTTTGAATTAACTATGTAAACTATTATTAATAAATGTTTGCTGAATTAATAAGAAGGATATTCAAAAACAAAAAATGAGTAGAAAATTAAAGCTACGTATAGCAGTTAATAGAATTTTAAACTAATATAGTTAACTAATGAAGGTTGTTAATTAATTAATCTCTTTCAATAAGTTTTGTTAGTAATTTTTCATACAAAATTTAGTCTGAAAAAGATTAGAAAAAGAAAGATGAATAACTGCATGTAGTTACCTCCATTAAAACTGCTTAATTAATTACTACATCCTAAAATTCTGTCAACTGCTATAAGTAGCCTTAGATTTTTTACTCATTTTCAGTTTCTAAATGGTTAACTTTCCTTCTTAATTTTTCGGTAAAATTTATTAGTTATATTTAAAATGTAAAAACAAAGCTATTCCTCATTTCTTCTTGCAGAAATTGTGCAAATATGCATTTACAACTTCTGAAACTTTATCGTCATGCAATAATTTGTGGGTGCTTTATTTTTTACCACGATATTTTCCATAACGACGTTTTTAAAATACAATTTTTATTTTCGAAAACGATGTTTTGTACTACGATGTTTCATAACTGCGATGTTTTCTCCTTGCTTTCCTTTCTCCGCGACGTTTTCGTCCGCGATGTTTTTGCTACGATATTATATCCTGTAATATATATTATCACGAAAAAAATTTCTTTTAATTTTCCCCCAAGAAGTAGTGAAAACATCAATATCATTAATTTTTAATTAATTCCGAAAACAGCCATGGACAGTTCCAGAATTTCTAAGATACCAGTAAAGTATTATTGCAGAGTTCTAAAATTGTATTGAAAAAGTACTTTTGATGCACGCATAAGTTGCTAAATCCGATAAGTTAGTGTTCTGTTGATGAGTCAAAGCATCTTACTGCACGTGGGGCACCTTCATAAAGATGCCCGGCGCCTTGCAATTCCGCTGCTGTTTGAAAAAAATAGAAATCTTCATTAGGAAGCTTCGGTATAAAGTTTCCCTTATCCTTATGAAGATTAATTTACAACTTGCAGAAAACAACCTATATAACATTGCCGATGCCATTACGGCAGGGTACTGCTATGTAAATACAGTAGATTTCACTCAATTAATATTAATTAGAAGCACAAATCTAATCTTTACTTGCGTAACGGTGTACCGTCAAAAGGGTGCTAGCAATTTTATGTAAGAGACTATAATGAAGTTTCTTGTATTTTCAAGTGGAGGCCAACGTACATAAAAATGCCAGCACCTTTATGGCGTACCACTGTTATGAAGCGGTCACTGACTTTTCTCCTGGAACTAAACTAAAGATATTTTCTTTGCCATAGTCCGAACATGATCTCATTAAAGACATTATTATTGCTGTGGAGACACTAACATACGATTGCACTAGAGCTAGAATTTAATTATAACCTTGATATTGTTCATGCAGCTGAAAGAAATCACGTGGCACTCGCGTGTTTTTACCAATCAGAATAACTAATATTATTCTGATTGGTAAAAACTGAAATTTGGTATTCTGATTGGTATAATATTCTGCACCATGTTATATATATTGGTGTAGAATAATTAAAGTATTCTACACCAATATATATAATATGTGATACTAAAAATGCCTTTCGTTATTTAAAATTATATTGAAAATATTGGTAAAAATTGTAAATTGAATATGTTAGAAATTAAATGTGTTACAAATTACATCAGTTATATAGTATAATAAGTAAGAAACACAGATTTATGTTTCCGGGAGATCATTCGTCGTTTTTTGGTCCTGAATTAAGTTACGTGCAAATAACATTATCTCTTCTGTCTTCCATCGTTTCCAGAAAAATCGTTTTTACCATATAAATCTTTTTTTTAAATACCGTTTGAAATACACTATTTCCCTCATGGATTAGTTTGGAGAAAATATTTGAAGCATACTACACATATTTTTATTTGTATTTCTTCTCTATTGACTTTGAATATGGCAGCATAGCTAAGCATTTCTCACGAGGTCCCAGCTTTCCGTTTTATTAACATCATTTCCAAATGCTATTCTGTTAAAAGTTGCATTAATTTATTTCTATAAATATCAATGAAGATGTACTAGTAAATACGTTTTACTGGTGGTGTACTAGTTTAGTTAACAAGGTCTCGTTTCCGATCTGTTTGTTTTCATAAGTTTTTTTTTTTTTTTTTTTATTTTATTAGTCCAAAGGGATTTGAATCCCGAAGGACTATTAGTTTCGTTTTGGCATTTTGCGTCGGACTCATAAATGTCGGTTCACTTTTCAAACTGTTGCCACAAAATGTTAGAGTCCTGCATTATATTTGAAGAAATTAAATAATGAAAAAATCTGCATAAAATGTATGTATATTTCTCGTATTGTGATAAAACAACGGTACATAGAGTCATCGAATTTTGAATAGCGTAATCCTCCAACGAATATGAGCATGTGGAAGACCAAATTTGAAATTTGAAATTTTGTTTTTATGATCGATTTCCTATTTTTTAAAACTTTGACGAATTTTTGATTAACAAACTCAAGGATTTCAAAGCGAGCAATGGCAACGTTATGCAGAAAAAAACAGTTTTTATCTCCGGCGCGTGAGTTTTCTGTATCGGAAATTCTAAAGATATGCTCATTTTAAAACTATTTTGCGATATTCCTGTTGAACTGAATTTTATGGTTTAAGTACGAAGAACATTTTAATTTCAAATAAAGAAACGCACAAAACGTTAAAAAAACGGAATTTAATTTGGACTTAATTTAAAATCTGAACATTTCAGATTTTTTTTTTTTTAGTCCAAAGGGATTTGAATCCCGAAGGACTATTAGTTTTCGTTTTGGCATTTTGCCTCGGGACTCATAAATGTCGGTTTCACTTTTCAAACTGTTTGCCACAAAATGTTAGAGTCCTGCATTATATTGAAGAAATTAAATAATGAAAAATCTGCATAAATGTATGTATATTTCTCGTATTGTGATAAAACAACGGTTCAATAGAGTCTTCGAATTTTGAAACGTAATCCTCCAACGAATATGAGCATGTGGAAGAACCAAATTTGAAATTTGAAAATTTGTTTTATGATCGATTTCCTATTTTTTTAAAACTTTGACGAATTTTTGATTAACAAACTCAAGGATTTCAAAGCGAGCCAATGGCAACGTTGTGCAGAAAAAAACATTTTTATCTCCAGCGCGTGAGTCTCTGTATCGGAAATTCTAAAGATATGCTCGTTTTAAAACTATTTTTGCGATATTGCTGTTGCACGGGATCTTATGGTTTAATGAGAGGAAACATGATATTTAATAAAGAAAGGTAACACACAAAATGTTAAAAAACGCTCCTTTGGACGTAATTTTCAGATTTTTTTTTTTTTTTTTTTTTTTTTTTTTTTTTTTTAAATTTTCATGGCTTTCAGGATTAATTCTCAGTTTACAAGGTGTATGGAGGAAAACCAGCAAAATTCAAAAGGTAGACAAGAGCAAGTCTGAAGCTTTACCAAGGCTTAAAAGCTTTACGAAAAGTTAAAAGGGTTTACTAAGCGCAAAACGATGCGATCAATGAAAATAGTTTGTCTCGAAAAAGTTGTTTTCAATTGAGATTGTCTATAATTACCGATTAAAAAAATCTGTCACCCCCGAAAGGCAGGTTCTATGTGTTTTTATAGCCGCTGGCCACTACTAAAGCCGATATTTATTACCGGAGGCACCAAATATATGGGCCACCGTTGCTCCTATGAAGAGATGGCAAAGTTACATGCATGTCTACGCTGGGATTCGAACCGGGGCCTGTCCGTACGGCAGTCAGAGTCACGAACCACTTTCCTGCTTGAGCGAAGGAAAGCATCTGTAACTAATAGGAAGAAGTTGACCAGAAAATTCTGAAAAATTTCTCTCTCTTTTGCTCCTTCCGCAAGGGCACCATAAAAGGGATGTTCGGGAGATTTAGCATTCAGGTATTAATTAATTTTTTTTTCTTTATTTTGTATTTATGTCAATGAAAGAACTAGAGACTTCCGTGCCACTTAGGAAGTTCAACGTTATTCCTTTTTAACATGAACATCCAAGTGGTCATGAGCTTGATCAGTCTGGAACTAAATTTTCTAATTCTTGTTGTGAAATGTCGTCTTGCTGCACCTCCAGTTTGATTAGAATAGTTCCCTAATTTTTTTCCTGGACTGTATTAAGCATAACTACAAATTTTGGAGTTCTATTAAACAAAGTTTTCTTCACCATCCTTCTAAGTATTTAGATGATGCAATGCCAAGCGCTGCCTCGAACCTTGCAATTAACAACGGAAAAGATTATGGATTTCTGCCAATAATTGATACCAATAATTGATCGATGATACTTACCAATAATTGATCGATGAAGATCAGGCCACTGACTTCTGTTGTCACCGAGCCAATGACCACTGTAGTTTCCACTGGAGGGATAAGTAGATCTAGAGATCACCAAGGATCTTGTCCCAGTAGCAGTCTCTGCAGCTCTACGTAAAATACATACTGCTCAATCCGAAGGGTCTGAATGTACAACAAATGAAACAATGATATGATAACGTATGGACAAAAAATCCAGATGGCTAATGAATGAGAAAATAACCGAAGGAATGAATATGAAGATATTGTAATGAAGTTGATATAAATGTGCAAAGATTTTCTAGATCTGGTGGAGAATTATGCAGTGGGCGTAGAGGTTTGTAAGCACAAGATTTTTCAGTTTCCACTCTTTTCTGCCATACGTTTGGCACTTTATCTGAATGAACTATGTGCTCAAAAAGATGAAAGAATCAAATAAGTGAATAATAAATTAATTTTAATAACAACGTTTTTGCTGAATGATTAAAGAAATTAACCACCTAAGTTTCAGCATCTGAGTTGCGATCTTCGGGTTAGATTCTTTTTATTATTATTATTATTATTATTTTCTTGCACGAAGTAGAGGAAGTATTGAAATCGTTAAAAATTTCAGGTATCATATTTGAATGGAAATATCCATTTAGACCTTTACTGAATCCATTAGGACGACTATTTCGGTGACGTTATTACGGACAGAATAAAGGACTGTTTTTCCAAAACAGATTGTAAAATGTATTTTAACTGCATTCGAAGGAGATTTTTTTTATTGCGATGTCTGCACGTACGCACGTGTGTAGGCACATACCTACGTATGTATCTCGCATAACTCAAAAACGATTAGTCATAGGACATTGAAATTTCGTATATGGGACAGCTATAATATCTAATTATACACCTCCCTTTTGTATTGCAATCGGTAGAACCAAACATCTGTTTTTGTTCATATATATATATACAGTGTCTCACAAAAGTGATGGGACACTTGTGCTTTACAAAAGGAAACTGTAATAAAATAAATTAAAAGACATGTAATTTTTGGGGTGTTTTTCATACTTGAATTTTAGTAACAATTTTACATAACATACATTTTCATAATATTAAAATATTTTTAATAAAACTACAATTGTTTAGAACGGAAAAAATGGTACATAAGTGGGGACACCATTAAATACTACTACGTACTCAAATATTTTGGGGTTTTTATTTTTACTCAAAGCATTGGTAATATTTATAAAATCGTCTGCAGTATTCGCTAAATTTTGTTTTGGAATTTTTGTGTTTTTTTAGCTCTGTGCAGCATAATTGCTAAACGAAAGAACTTTTGCCTGAAAAAATAGTTATTATTTGCATATTGAACGGGGTAAATCTATTATAGAAACTGCTGAACAGTTTTGAGTCATTCAACAGTTTCAATATCATTAAACGATATAAAAAGAATCATATGATTCAGGATAAAAGAAGATCTGGCCGACCATCAAGCTATCCAATGGCAAATATCGTTCGAAATATTAAAAAAAAAAATCCAAGAATGCGTGCTCCTAAAGTTGCTGCTGATTTACAAGCATTATATGGAGTAATTGTAATCCTGAGCTTAGAAGTAATTCGATTTGCTGGATATCACGGTAGAGCAGCCAGGAAAAAATTCGTAAGTGAAAAGAATAAAAACTCAGATGGCTTCGCAAAATCAAACTAAATAAGAATTCTGATTACTGGAATGAAGTTATATTGCTGATGAGAGTAAATGTAATATTTTGGGCTGACGGTGGAATCTTGGTGTGGAGAAAACCCAGGGAAGAATTTCACAAAAGATTTGGTGCCAACATAAAATGGTGGAGGAGAAGTTATGGTATGGGGGTGTATGTATTGCTGGAGTTGGTAATCTTGTTTTTACTGACAGTATAATGGATCAACCAAGTATATTGACATTTTAAATCAAAATTTGAAATCTTCAGCCTAAAATTTCTTCATAACGATTTTAAATTCTGCCAGGACAATGACCCCAAGCACACTGCTTTTGAACATTAGACTCTGGCTGCTGTATAACTATCCTGGAATAATAAAAACACCACCACCCCAGACTTAAATCCCATACAGAATATTGGCAAGAATTGGAATCAAGAATCGCAAAATTCTTCAAAACAACAATTAAAATCGATGCTTTAAGAAGAATGGGGTAAAAGCAAGAAAAAAAAAAAAAAAAAAAAAAAAAAAAAAAAAAAAAAAAAAAAAAAAAAAAAAAAAAACAAAAATTAGTCGAACCATCTCAAGAAGATTAAATCATGTTTTAAAAGTAAACGGATATCCACAAAATATTAAAACCTTTTAAAAGTAAAATTTTTGGATAAATATGATGGAAAAGTAAGTGTTCCATCACTATGTGAGCCATTTTTTGCTCCGTTCTAAACAATTGTATTTTTATTAAATTATTATTTCAATATTTCGAGAAATGTTGTTTTGTAATAATTTTACTAAATTTAGTATGAAATACACCCACAAAAAATTTTTACACGTTTTTTTATTTATTTTACTACAGTTTCCTTTTGTAAAGCACAAGTGTCCCATCACTTTTGTGAGACACTGTATATATATATACAGGGTGTTTCAGAAACGGTTACAAACGTTCAGGAGAGGTAGAGTACACCTAGATGGTGGAAAAACACATAGCAATGCATGATCGGAAACTCTTTCCCGTAGCGTAGTGACGACACAAAACACAAGAAAAGAAGGACACGAACAGGATGAGAATAATGTTTCGTATGGTTAGTGCAGCAGAAACCAAAAAAATAGAACAAAAACAGACGATCGTCTTTAAAGATGGTGATCGAAATTACGCTCGGGACTGTGATGCAAGAACCGTTCGTCATGTATCTTCCATGCACCGGAGATGTGAAGCTTGCATCACGTGCAGGATTATAATTTAACCTTCTTTAATGACGATCGTTGTGTGTTTTTGTTCTTATTTGTTGATTTCTGCTGTACTAAGCATAATAAAATGTATTTTGTCACACTATTCATGTCCTTTCTTTTTTGTGTTTTGTGTCGTCACTGCAGCAACAAGAAAACGTGTCCGAGCGTGCATTGCTATGTGATTTTCCATCGTTTAGGTGTACTCTGTCTCTCCTGAAACTGTGTAACCGATTCTGAAACACCCTGTGTATATATATATGTAAGAAAAATAAAGAATATGTAAAAGATTAAATTAGCAGCGTAAATTAGATTCCCTTTCTCTATTCTACAAATAGCAACATCTATTTGCACTGCGTCATTTCGAGAAAAATCTATGTCATGTGATTCTTACGTAATTCTGGTGATGTAAATTGAACTAAAACTCAAGCAGCCAATAATAATTTTACAGCAATATTAACCATCCAATCAAAATGCATTGAGAACCAAAACTAACTCAGTTTGACTTAAGATTTCATCCTGAACATAACACACTTGCTTTCCACGTTTTGGCCTAGCTAGACTGCTGTTTGTCTGCTGCTGCTTTCTTGCTACAAATATATCAAAAACGTAATTGCTTCTGAGTTTGAATATATTACATGTATATATATATAGAGAGAGAGAGAGACAGAGAGAGAGAGAAAAGAAAACAAGTAGGCAAAGAGGTAAGAAGAAAGTACGCTAGTACTAAAAGTAATAAATAGCGCAAAGTGCTGCTAAATTTTAATTGAAGTTTAAAAGTAATGTTTGATCGAACTCATCAGCAAGAAGACATGAATTTTACCAAGTAAATTAATACATGAACTATCTTAAAGCAGAAAAAGATACTAAGACAGTGATGAAGAAGAAAGTACTAAAGAGAAGTATTTTTGCAAAAATTAATCCCTTGTTTTAATTCATAAAGGACTTGTCCAGGGAAAGTGTTTTAAACTGGCTTCTAATTATCCTAAGGACCACTTGGAGGAGGGAGCAATGATATGTACACCAATAGCAAGCATTTTATTTTAATTTTAAAATTTTTATTCGTTCTAAAGATTTCGAAGTTTATTTAAACGGATGCATAGAGATATCAATTTGTATCGCTGCCTTAGTATTTCTTTATGTTTCGTTTCCAATTAAGGATGTCGGGATCTCATAGTGTAATTAGTATGTAGAAAATTGAAACCCTTAAGATGATAGCGACTAAGAGTTTTGAGTTCATGTGACAAGAAACAACAGATGGAGGGAAATAACCTTATATCAAATAAGATTACAGAACTCGTCTGGTGGACAATAAAAGCCGACACTGGGCTGCACGTAGAGGCTAGAGTAAACTCTAAAACTTGTAAACTAAAAGAGGTATAGCCGAAGCTTCAATTAACGAGTTGGCCCCTTAACTAATGATGCGCAGCTATCAAGACCTAAGTACGGGCGAGCGTAATACTAGATTCGAGAGAGTGCCTAAAAAGGCGGACGCGTGCAGACAGAATACCTGGTAATTCTCTACCTAAGACCGAAGAACTTCGCTGTTAAATACCGCTCTTCCTCATTATGTATTCAGACGACCTGATCGATTAATAAGAGAGCTAAGACAAATTTCCTTCCGACCTATTCACTGGGACTCGGAAACGCAATACTTAATCAATTAGTCAACTAATTAGTAGAATTAGAAGTTTCATTGAATTGTCTTTTTTCCCTATTTGTCATAGCTTTCTAACACAAAAATGAAAATAGAAATATATTAATACTTATCGGTTTTAAAGTTCTTACCCGATCTTTATTTTCGCAATCGTTGGTCATAGTCATATACTTCAATTACGGAAATGCTTTAAATCACGAAAATATTCCTGTTTTGATAATGTCAATGTTTTGAACAAATTTAGTTTTCAACAAATAACGAAAGATAACATTTAAAGCCGTTTCCTGGTTTCTCTACATATATCTTTATACTCGTTATGAAAAAGATAACATTAGAAGAAGTTTGATTCCCTACGACAAATACTGACAAGATTATTTAATTTCAAAATTTGCAGTTTTTGATGTCATTTTCGACTTTCTTGAGAGATCGGTAATTTAAGTTGATAATTCGAGGAAATAAGCAAAAAATGTGTACAAT